CCCAGTGAGAAGCCCAGATCCTACACTGATTTACCTCCCACCCAGCCTTATGTCTTCACTCCGGGGAAGGGACCACCTCTCTCCACCCCACCGCCAGCCAATCCAGGGTCAGGACAGCCTTGACCCTGATTGCCCCGCCTCCCCCCATTTCTCTGCACTGTAGCCAGAGTGTTTCCTGGACGACCATTCTCACCTGGGCACTGCCCTCTGGAACACCCACCGGACAGGCGCCTGGGCTGCCTGTTTTCTGCGCACCCGGGAGGGCGGGTGTCCCGTCCTGGGTGTCCCAGCGCAGAGCCTGGGGCACGATGCTGAATGTTTTCCTGCTGGTTTGGTGCCAGACATGTGCTTCATGTTCGTGGGCCTGCTTTCCTGCAGTGGGCGTGTCACGCTTTTCCCTACGACTTAGACCCTGGTTTTTTTTCCATATTAAGTTATAGAGGTTGCAGTCTGTCGTTTTACTTTTTTTTTGACACCTTTTTGGGTAGTCCCATATCAGTGCCTTGCCCTGCAGAGTAGTTAGGGGGGATAAACCCCCTCCCCCCCCTCGACAATCAGGGACCCCATCAGTGTTATCTGCTGCCCCAGCTGGGAGCCTCTCCTTATTTTGAAACTGACCACCGGGAGCTGTGTGACGCTGGGTGAGTTATTCAGCCTCTCTGGGCCAGCGTTTCCCACGTGCGAAGTGGGGTTGGAGCGAGCACCTGGCCTGCGGTGTTTAGTGCTCTGAGGATGCAATGAGGTAATCCGCCGCCGAGAGGAGTGCCAGCGAGGCCGGCCCCAGGGCGTGCGCTCGGGAGGGGGCTGCCGCTGCTGCCACTTCCTCCGAAAGGTGACCTCAGGGAGGACCGCAGGACCCGATATTGTCGTCGGTTGTGTATTTTCTAGGGAAACAGGTTAAGTAATTTGTTTCCCATCAGTGCGTGCTCACCACCAAAAAGTTTTGTAAGCACAAAAAAAGGAGTGAAAATTTGTAGTCCTATCCCCATGGCAATATTTTACGGCCACCCTTGTTTTTTTTCTGTGTGTTACAAATCTGTACATTGCCCCTCCCCCAATTTTCATGGTATGCGTTCTGAAAAATATACCTAGAATAATAATGCACATCCTTTCATAGCTCAGAGCCAGCGTAGTTTCTCATTGGTGCCGCTGATTTCCACGGCTGGGCTCGGTCCGAGGCCGCGGGACTCCCAGGGGTGATGGGGGGGGTCCCTACATCCCTCTGCAGCCCTGATTGAACTTGCAAGGGCACGCCCAGCCTCCTGACTGACACTGCATGCGTGGTGACAGTGTGCCTGACTGGTGGATGCTGGAAAAAACCACTGGTCCAAGTATCCGTATTGGGGGGTTCAATTCTTAAAATATGTTAAGGTTTTTTTGTAACTCGCTTTGTAAAAGGGCACCACGAGGGACCCTTGTGGTGGTGGATACACAAACCTCCATAGGTGATGAAATTGTATAGGGCTTAGTATTCACACACCTGAACATACACATGGACACGCATGTGAAGCTGGGGGAGCTTGAGTAAGATTCAGGGACCGTGTCAGTGTCAGGACCCTGGTCGTCACGTCATTTCTTACATGAAAAAATTCGCTTAAAAAAGGTAGGTGTAATTTCTGATGAACAGAACCCCGGAGAAAAGCAGCTCTGAATCGCGCTCTCTTACGTTAGGGTGACGTAGAGCCGGTGTGTTACAATGTAGCGGTTTTTTCTCCCTGGACAGCAGAGGACTCGGTCCTTTGAGAGCAGGGTGGACAGTGGCAGGCCCTCGGTCACGGTGCAGGTGCCAGCACAGAGAGATGAGCCTTGGGTGACCGCACTGGTCCGTCTCGGCCGCACTGATGAAAGGGGTGTTCGGATGCCGACCTCCCTGCCGGCTGGCTGGGGGGCTCTAGCGTCTTATCTGCTCTATTGCAGAACGTGGCAGCTGTGCAGCTTAAAACCCAGTTCCTGTCCGCGGCACAGGAATCTTCACGTAAGGATTTCTAGTGACCTTGAGCTGATGCACTATTTACAGCAATTTGAGCTGGACTCCATCTCCGTCAAATTCAGTTCTGGTTTAAACCAACCCTTGGAAATCCCCCTTGCCTTTCCTGACCCGGCAGCCCCGAGACACTCCCTGCAGCAGGCACTGGGGTTCCCGCCATACAAGGTGGGGACACAGTGCTGGGTGGGGGAGAGGCCGGGAGGAGGAGCCCCCTCTCCTGGCTCCCTGGGTTCTGTGCTGGTTGGGTTTCAGATTTGGAACCAGATTTTAGGTCACCTTCTTAGGCTAGAAAATCATTCCAACAGATCAGATTTCTCTGAGCTCCTTCCCTAGGATGATCTCTACTTGCGTTTAATCAAATATTTAGAGACCTATTGCATTTCACTTGCAGCTTGCCATAATACACTTCAGTTCCCAAATGCCTAGCATGGGCTGTTACTGAATGTGGGTCATTGCCAAAGCCAAACTCTCTAGAATCTTAGCTAAGAAGAGTTACTAAGGAGTTATTATTTAGCCCAAAAGTGGCAGGTTTTAAAAGTTTTATACTTTGGCCCTAAATCCATTTGCATTTATTCCTTCCTCCCTGAATAAAGCCCATGCTGCCTTCTTGGTATTTGCTGAACGGCAAATCAATTCCTTGCCATTGATTTAAAATAAAACAACCCTGAGGCTTTTTTTTTTTAGCAGACTAAAGTATCTTTTCATTGCACAAGGTTTTTTTTTCTCCCATGGAAGGGAGAACAAAGCCACGCAGTCCTTTAAAGGGGCCTGCCTGCCTGCCCTGGCTGGTGTAGCTCAGTGGCTTGAGCACGGGCTGTGAACCAGACATCGCAGGTTCAGTTCCCAGTCAGGGCACATGCCTGGGTTGCAGGCCATGGCCCCCAGCAACCACACATTGATGTTTCTCTCTCTCTTTCTCTCTCTCTCTCCCCCTCTCCCTTCCCTCTCTAAAAATAAATAAATAAAATCTTAAAAAAAAGGGGGGGGCCTGCCTGCAGCCTCATGTAAGCACAGTAAATCCTATTTACTTGTAATGAAATGCCGATGCATGAGTGCACATGCGTGTGCACACATGTGTGTTCTACCAGTTCTGGGTTCATCTTCCTGATGGCTCACAAAGGCCAGTATTCAAAACGTCATAGTTTGGAGTAAGGAAAGGTTTGTAGACCAAGAGGGCTCCAGCTCGAGAAGATGAGAGTTGCCTTTAAGTTTCTGCAAATCCACCTTAAGAGCGCCCAGAATTCAGGCGCTCTTCTCTTACAAGGAGGGAAGGGAGAGTGGGCGGGGCCACAGTTGAGTGACACGTAGGCACCCACAGGGTGCAGGAAGACTGTGGAATCTCTAGATCTCTGAGTTCCCTGGGCCACTGAGCCCTGCTGATCCATAGCAGAGGCTCTTGGCCTGAGACCCATGGGGAAATGCAGGCTAGAATCAAGGTAGAACCAGAGAGCGTGAGGATTTCTCTCTGTTACATATGCCACAGGAATAGTGGAGGTCTCTTTGGCGTGGGCTGAAAAACTCTTGTCACCCTGGTTTTCGTGGTGTGGAAACTGGTTGCCTAGCCCTAGAACGTGGCCCGTGGGGGCAGAAGGGGGCTGTGCCATTATGAAATGACCAGCTAAGACGGTTGCTTGATAATTATACCGGTAGCTGCTTTCTGAAGGATGGCGCTCTGTCCACGTGGCTCGGTCTCTGGTTAGTGAGGTCGAGATCCCGTCGGACTTTCTGACGATTTTGGGGGCTGAGCCACTGACCCATTTTGGTGCATGGAATTTGTACGAGGCCAGATCCCTGTCCGATCCGCTGCCTTGCCCCCAGCACCACCTCTGAGTACGTGACACACAAGGGCGTTGCCGGGAATGGAGTTCCCCTCCCACGCCCTCACCCGCTCAGAGCTCCGGCTCTTCCCGGGAACTGGGAACTGAAAGCCGGTGGTGCTGAGTGTGGGTTGGACTTGACCAGACCAGTGACCCTTTGTGGCTAATGTGCGGGCACAGTCTCGAAGCGGCTTTGTCAGAGGGGTCATTTGTTTGGCAGGTTTGTGGCACTGGTCATTCCATTGTCGTTTTTTAAAAATTAAATTTACTGGGATAGTAGTGGTTAGTAACATGACATCAGTTTCAGGTGGTACAGCTTTATAACACAAATTCTGTACACTCGATTGCGTGCTCACTTCCAAAAGTCCGGCCTCCTTCCGCCCCCGCGCATCTCACCCCTGTTCCCTCTTCGTCCTCCCCCTGCCCCTGCCCCCTCCCCCTCTGGTGACCGCCATTCTGTTGTCTGCATCTGTGCGTTTGCTTGCTTTGTGTGTTCACTGGTAGCTTTTTGTGTTGTATTTCACACAAGAGTGAAATCACATGCGTCAGTCATGTAGAGGTGTCCAGCCCGTGGCCCGAGGGCTGCATGCAGCCCACGACAGCTATGAATACGCCCCAACACAAAATCGTAAATGTACTTAAAACCCTTTTTTTTTTTTTGCTCATCAGTTTTTGTTAGTGTTTATGTATTTAATGCGTGGCCCAAGGCAACTCTTCTCCTTCCAGTGTGGGCCAGAGATGCCAAAAGGTTGGACACCCTTGTAGACTATTTGACTTAGTATAATACTCTGAAGATCCATTTATGTTGTCACAAATGGCAGTATTTTAACTTTTTACGGCTGAGTAGGTTCCACTGTATATATGTACACCCCTTCTTTATTCAGTCATCTATCGAAGGTCACTTAGGTCGTTTCCATGTCTTGGCCACTCTAAATAATGCTGCAGTGAACATAGGGGTGCACACATGTTTTTGAGTAAGTGTTTTCAAATTTTGGGGGGCCAATACCCAGAAGACAGATTGCTAAGTCCTATAGTAGTTGTAGTCTTCATTTCCTGGGGAACCTGCGTGCTGTTTCCCGTACTGGCCGCACCGATTTCCATCCCCACCAGCAGTGCACCAGGGTTCCCTCTCCTCTGCATGCTCGCCAACACCTGCTGTTTCTTGTCTGATTCATTGTCATTTTCGTTTCTTGCAGTTTTATGTGCTGAAAGAGTTGGCCAGATGACTAAGACATATAATGACATTGATGCTGTTACTCGGCTTCTTGAGGAGGTAAGTGTTTAGAGGGAAGGGAACGGCCGCTTAAAGTTGACCCTTTAGCCGTGAAGATGATGGGCCTCGGATAAGTTCTGCCTCTGTGGTCATCCTTGTTATCGAGGGGGACATTTTCCCGCGAGCTCTGTGTTGTCCAGGTGTCATCTCATTGGTTCTACGGTAGTTCTCAGAGGTTGATGCCACCATGTCCCCATGCTGCAGCGAAGGGACCTGGGTCCGGGCTGCAGAAGGTGCCCATAGTGGCATGGCCGCTCGCCAGCCCTGGTCCCCGCCTGCAGTGCATGTGGCCATTGCTGTGGCTGTGATGCGTATTGGTCTTGGGGAAGCGGTCAGTTGATGGTCAGTGGACCGTGTTCACTTTCGAAACAGAACCCAGGTTGTTATGTTCATGGGAGCTGCCTCTGTGAGGCTTTTGCAGAGTCTGAGATAGCAGCGCAGGGTTACCTCTCCATGGGTGGTGTCAGCTGTGCTCCAACTGGCGGAGAGGTCTTCCCGAGGAGCCGAGGGATCCAGCCCTTTGTGCAGACGCCGGTTAAAAATAGCTCACTTCGCCCCAAGCTAGTTTCTTCAACGTGTGTCAAAGCATAAAGAGTGTGCTGTTGTCTTTTCAAATAATGGAGTTACTGAGAAGAGTACTGGTGGGGCGGTTTTTCAGGTGGCCTCTGTGTTGTGCCACCTTGGTTTTCTTTCAGTGACTCATTGTGACCGTGGCCCGTGTGTGTCTGGGTTTTGTACGTGCCATTCTTCTCCTTGTCCTGATAAGAATCGCATCTGAGTCACTGCCTTTCTTAGGAAGAGGCGGGTTTCCTGGTTAATGTCTCACTGGCACAGTGCGGGACAGTTGTGCCGAGAGAGGCTTCGGTTCCACTTCCTCCGATCGCGAGATCGTTTGCTTTGGTTTGCACGCCTGCCCCCTGCAGGGGAGGCGCTGGGGGCATTTGCGCAGGAGGCCAAGGCATGGCCGTTGTGCAGCGTGGAGTTCCCTTCTGGGTTGGGGGGAAGGAGGATTCAGCAGCTTGCTCTGGCTTGCTGCTGTCAGGAATGTACCTCTGGGCAAAGCTTGCCTCCTCCCCAGTTACGGAGGGGGTTATTCCGAGGGCCCTTAGTCACGCTTCTTATCCTAAAATTGGTGAATGAGAGGAGTTCGCAGCTGAGTGTGGGAGGCCGGCTGCTCTCCAGCCCCAGGGGGTGCGTTCGTTGGGTGAAGGGGCCGAGACTCGAGTCACAGACTTTTTAAACAAAGCGTATCTGTGAAGCGGGAGTGAGCAGAGTCAGAGCGTGCTCCACATGGTGCCACCTTTCTCGTCCTTTTAGTGGCTTATTTCCAAGGGTCTGAGTTGTTTGTCTGTAGTCTTTTATTCCCACTGTAGTTGAGTCCAGGGGTCACTGCCTAGCCGTGTTCCTGGATTCAGAAGTAAACGTCTATCAGCTGTTGGCTGGTTGTAAGAAACGGGAGTTTTTTCGTTCCTGTCGTTCTCCAAGAGAGACCCAGCCAGCCCGTCACCTTAGTAAAGAAAAGCCAGAGACGCCACAATAACTTTTGTTTAGTTTTCTCACTTCACCCATAAATATTTTTACTATAACATCTTGCCCCCTCTGCCCCTGTTAATCTAGCAGAGATTTTTTTTAAATTTTCCTATAAAGGTTAGATTTGGGGTGTGGAGGTGAGAGCTTGGCATCAGTGGGGCAGGGAGGGGTGAGGTTGGGGGTGTAATGGGGAGGGGCAAGGGGCGTGGTCATTGAACTCCCTGCCCACTTGCCCACTTGCTCTTCTTCCCCTTCCTGTTTCCTGTTCCTCTTGGGCTCTGCCCTCGGTGTGCCATGGGCTGCCTTCAGCATCCTTTCCCTGCTCCAACGCAGCCTTTCCCGGCTGGTCTTCATTATCATCGTTTTTGCTTGATATGATTGCAATGGCATCTGTGGGCAAACTGTGGCTAAGACTTGGCAAATGACTGTGCTGTTGGAACTCAACAGCCTGGAGGTGAGGGGGAGGCACAGATTTCCCCCACCCTCAAGGCTCTTCTGGCTGGCCCGATGGTCAACCAGACGCGAGGCAGATTAGCAAGAAGAAATTACCAAGTTGAATACAGACGTATGCATGGGAACCCCATGTGCAGGAGAGAGTTGGAGACCCCACAGGCAGGACAGGTTCAGAGACAGAGAGGGACCATGGGCGTATAAAGCAGCCTGAGCCAGGGAAGAGGTCATGCCCTGAGGGCTGCAAAGGGTCACTACAGGGTGATAAGGGGAGCAGATGCTCAGTAAGTAGAAGTTTGTCCAGCCCTGTGCACAGGTCAGGAGAGGTTATCTCTCATCGCCTCTTACTACGGGCCAGGCCCCTAACGTGAGTTCTTCTGGGTAGTTCAGGGATCAGCAGAAGTTGCCTTTAGCTCAAAACAGTCTGCACACCACAGAGGCACATCTTGGGGTGACTGGATCTTAACCCGTATCGTTGCATGATGGAGACCAAGAACAGTGGGGCAGCGAGCCAGTGGGCATGGAAGCACCTGTTGGGTGCTCCGTCTGAGAACTTGATCCAGTGGCGAAATTGGGTAGACTTGAGTGGGCTTGGCGGAGGCCACACTCCCAAAGGGAAATGGACTTTGGTGTTGCAGTTTTTGCCGTGTGTTAGCCCTGCGTCAGCCGGCTGAAGCTGCTTGGAGTACCTGCTGACTTTAAGTCGGCCCCGGGACAGGTGGGTGCGCAAGCTCCCTCGCGCAGTTCCTTTGGGTCCTTTCCTCCAGGTACCGAACAAGCACGGCCACTACGTCCGAGGAGTGGTAAAGGGCTGTTGAGGTAGGCTGCTTCTTGGCAGGTGCCGTCGCTGGCGTGGACAACCACACAGAGACGAGCATCTCGCTTGAGCAGACGGTCTCTTGGGCCTCTTTTGTCCCACGGGCCGGTGTGCTGGGGAGGCACAGGCTGTGGGAACGGGCTGGAGGTGTTTGTGGCTCACTTGGTGTGACACCCGGCTGGCTTCTGGGACGGGGTAACAACAGCTATGGGGTTTAGCGCTGTCGAAGACCAAGGGGGCGGTGGCAGGGAGCCCATCACCTGTGCGGGAGGAAGGGCCAAGTCCCTCTCAAATCCAGAGTCTTCCCAAACGACGCTCCAACCTCCAGTAACTCAGGGAACACCTCGATTAGCAAAGGCAGGGCATGCTGCTGTTGGGTGGTGTAAAGGAGTTAGAAATAAAAGCAACTGATGTTTGTTTGGTTTCTTAATCATACAAGTCAGTGAATCAGAAAGCTAAAAGATTTTTTTGACGGTTCTCCCTGTTAGTCTGCCCCCCTGCCCTCCTCCATCTGACAGAGTAGGGAACTGGGCCCAGGATGTCCCATCAGAGCCCAAACTTGCATAGTTTCCAAGTAGAACAGTTCACCTGGAGCAGGTAGATGGGGGGCCAGCGCCTGCTGTAAGAAAAGCATGTTAGGCGGTGACCCAGTACTCACCGAAATAAAAGTTTAAATGTGACACAGCACCCTTACTGCATGGAAAGCACTTCGGCATTTGGGTTCTGTGCGGTGGAAGTCCATTTAAACTGGCATGTCCCTTGCCATCACTAACATGATTCTCCACCTGCCGAAAGTTGCGACCTGTCTTTGGAGGAAACTCATCTACAATGAACCTGACCCTTGGTGGGCAGGAGCCGTTGACCAAGGCCACGTAGTTAATAAATAGTAGATTGGGAGGCAGGGCTCCTCCCCAGCTTGCTTTTTTTTCCTGTTCTTAACTATGTTAACCTAAAAAAAAAAGGGCTTTTCGAAGTGAGAGCTAACAAGCATTTATTTGAGATTTTAAAAATACAAGAACATGTATTCGAGAAGCACCAGTGGAGGCAGAAGCCCAAACCTGCTCCAATGAGGACACAGAGGCGGTAGGCATGATGGGAAAGGGGGCGGGAACAGCTCCATCAGTAGAAGGAAGGCGTTTCCATTGGTGCCGAGAAGCCAACGCAGCGATGTGTATTCTAAAGGACGTTTTTAATTTTCAGTCCGGGAGTCCTAACATCGGCTTTCTGGCTATGCTTGCCAACCGTTCTTTGGGACACGGAGTCGCCCGAGGCTCAGCCCAAAGGCTGCTGTGCCCTGTTTCAGTGTCTCGAAGGTTTGAGGCACAAGACGTGGGGGGCATTTCGTCCGGGACGAGCGTTCCGGCTCCATTTTAAAGTGGCTCCATTTATGTTATTTTTCTTAACAATTATTTTTCCTTTACACCCAGTAAGCAGAATAATTAGCATAGGTTTCTAAACTAATTCTGTTTCCCAGAATTCTCCTTCCCTTGCCAACCCCCACCTAAAAGTGAGCCAGCTGACTCTAACCACAGTGGCACCCAGCGTGTCGTCCCCCCCCCCCCCGGCGGGGTCAGGAGGTCCGCACTGGGTGATGCTGCCGCCCCACCGTCCCCAGTGTCAGGGGACGTCTTTCCTCCCATAGAGGCAGCTGGACCCCCTAGAGGCCACCAGAGATTTTCCTCCCTCTTCTCGGCTCCGAGTGATGTCATTGGCTGCACAGAATGTTCTGCGTCTTGAAAGCATCTTCAGCTCTGAAGTTGTGGGTCATTTTAGGCATTCTCTCTCCATTTTGAAAGTCTGCTTTTTTAAAAAAAATAAAGCCTAAGTAGCCTCCCGTTACGTAAGAGAAATGTATTGCATGTTGGAGTGACTCGAAACATCTCTGGTTCACATGAGGCAAATAGAAGGAACTCTGTAAATTCCGGCTGGGTGTGTGCTGCCGAGGCTGCCTCCGCATGCCTGCTCTGGGCTTTGCTGCGGGAGCGCCTCAGAATTTCCAGATTGTTCATTCCCCCAGCGGCGGGTCACAGAGTGACCCTGGCAGTGCAACCGCCAGCCCTCAGGTCTCTCCGGAGAGACCGGTTATCGGGTGACGACTCCAATGCCAGCAGCAGTGACAGGGAAATGTTCTGGAAGCAGGTTTTTCCTGTTGTTCTCATCGGATGTTCAGGTTTCCTTTCATTGCGTGAGGCCGGCGTAGCTCCCACACCTTACGTGGGCGGAGCGTGCACCTCTCTGAACGGGTGTCCCCTGCCGGTGAATGGGTGGCACCTACTCACCCCCTGTCTGATTTCGGAATGCCTTTGTCTTCCTCCACGGGCACGGAGCTCTGTTGGCTCCTTCCGGAAGCCCCGGCGTTTTTTTCTTCACCCTCTGCCCTCCCTCTGCCCCTCACAGAAAGAGCGGGATTTAGAACTGGCCGCCCGGATTGGCCAGTCGTTGTTGAAGAAGAACAAGACCCTCACCGAGAGGAACGAGCTTCTGGAGGAGCAGGTGGAGCACATCAGGGAGGAGGTGAGGAGCTGGACGGAGGGACCACAGGTGTGGTCAGAGATGCTGGACCGGGTCCCACTCGGAAAGGCCCTCTGCTGACTCGTCCCTCCCTTGTCCAGGGCTGCCTGTTCTGGGTGGCCACCTGGACGCAACACGTGGCCCTCCTGCAGCTCCCGGTCACTGTGTCTCCTCCCCGCCATGGGGACGGGGCCATCGTGGGGGAAACAGGCCTCACTGAGTTGGTGGGTGCACAGTGCCCATGAGGCCTGGCTGTGTTGGACCAGCCGCCCTCCCTTTCCTCTGAGAGTCCAGACATCACGTGGGCTCAGAAGGGTGCTCAGGGCTTGGCAAAAGCGCAGGCCGGCCAGTGCAGCAACGAGCAGGGGTCCCTGAGTCGGGGGGGCAGGAGCCCTGCGAGGGGCAGCAGTCACAGGGAGGGACGGTGAGGTTTTCCAGGTGTGAGAGTGAGGGCTGTCCGCCCAGAGCTGGCCCACCCAGAGCCTCGGTTCCAGGTGGGACTTGGTTCTGGCAGAACCTAATGGCCTCATCTTGCCTTGTGGGTAACATGATCCATTTCTCTGGTTATGGGCCCGGCTACTGGCAAAGCCCATATATATGCTATCTTGTGCCCCCAAACACCATTCTAGAACTTTCTAGTCCCCTCTCATTTCTTTCTTGCACCGAAGTAAAAATTACAAATTTAGGTGGAGGCATTTCTGCCAAAAAAAAGTAATTCATTGTATTTTTCTTAAACGGGATGGCGCTCAACTGTGTGTTTCCTCTGAATAGCCCACATCACTTACAGGCCTTCACGTTGCATGAGGAATTTTTAAAATGTTGTCACTGAGCAGTAAGTGCCTGAGCGTCAGTGGGGACATTGTCATGTGTGGGGCGTGAGTGACGGTCCCCTGGCTCTGTCCACGCAGGTGTCCCAGCTCCGGCATGAGCTGTCCATGAAGGATGAGCTGCTGCAGTTCTACACCAGCGCCGCGGAGGAGAGCGAGCCCGAGTCCCTGTGCTCCACCCCGTGAGTCCCCGGGGGAGGGGCATGTGGAAGGACAGGTTTCCCGTTTCCCTCTTAGGGGGTCTTCTTGCTCATTTGTGAGTGTAGACCGACTCGGCCTGGCTGTCAGGGGGTCGCAGGGGGGGCTCCGCTGGCAGAAGAGCCACAGGGTCCTGGAGCCCGAGGTGCTGTGGCAGGGCCTGGGGGACTGGAGGTGTGGGCGGGCTCTTCTCTGAGTCAGCGGAGCCTGGTGTTAGCAGCGCCGTGAACTCCGGAGCCCGATGGCCTGACGGGTTCTTGACTCTGTGGCTTACCTACCACCTGTGTGCTACTGGCCAAGTGACTTAACCCCTCTGTGCTCGCTTCCTCATTTGCAAAATGGGGGTAATAACGCCACTTAGTTCAACCAGCTAATACATGGATGAGGGGGGACCCCAGAAAAACCTGGAATTTATTTATAAAAACTTGTATATTTATTCTTACACATTTACACTTCAATCACCTTCAAAGCCCTCTCCATCTGGTGCAATGTACCCATCGAGACGTTTTTTTCCACTGCTCAGAACAGTGGTTGAACGCATCGATTTTGATGGCTTGTAGTGTTTCTGCCACCTTTTGTTTCACCTTGTCCACATCAGCAAAACGTTTCCCCTGGAGGACTCTCTTCATCTGGAGAATCAGAAGGTCCCTCGGGGTGGGATCAGGTGACCAGGAAGGGCAGGGGGTCATGCTGTTTCTGGCCAAAAGCTGCTGAACCCTCACTCAGCGCGGTGTGGGCATAAATCGCCCAGCACGAAATGGGAAAATGCATTGAAAGAATCTTCAGAAAAAAAATTCACCGAAGCCACACGCAGCCTCTCAGACAGCGCCAGCTGGCGCGCGGACACAGATGGGTTCCTAGAACACTCACCTAGCGGGGGAAGCCCGTGCTACAGGGGGCCCACCCTCCAGAAGACCGTTCTGGCTATTTTTGGATCCCCCCACCACGTATTTCAATACGTTAAGTGAGTTTGTGCGTGTATTTAAAAAACCGTTGTTGGCGCACGGAAGCGCATGACAAAATTAAACTCCCAGGCATTCCAGAACGGTGGAGGCTCCAGATAGAGCAGATTCCCCTGAATCCTGAGGCTCTGTGGCAACTGCAGATTGGGGGCGAGGGCTGGAATGCGGGTCTGAAGTGGGAGCGGGCCCCTGCATTGGCAGATGCGCTGCCCCGGGGGCGAGGGAGCAGTGTGGCAGGTCCTCGTCTCTCCTGTGGGGTTTGTGGCTCTTCCGGAGGTGTCCTCCCTGGCTCCCCGAGCTGTACCGGGCGGGTGGCCGCGGGTGTGGGGCTCCCTCCCTAGAAAGTGACCGGACTTCGCCCGCAGGTTGAAGAGGAATGAGTCATCCTCCTCCGTCCAGAACTACTTTCACCTGGACTCTCTTCACAAGAAGCTGAAGGACCTTGAGGAAGAGAACGTCGTACTTCGATCCGAGGTGAAGTCCACGTTCTGCCCCTGCCCCTTCCGGGAGGTGGCGGCCCTGTCTGCCTTCCCTGGGGAGCACAGCCGTGGTCACAGTGGCATTCTCAAAGGCCTGAAGGACCACCCAAACCTGGGCTCACCACTGCCCTGCGGCCTCATTGCCATGCTGGGTGTCGCTGCCCAGGGTGGCCCACACGGCCCGGGCTGGGGCGGGCCAGTGGGTGAGTCGTGCAGCGTGGGGACGGCCAAAGGCGGCCACCCACCCGCCTTCACAGTGAGGGCCAAAGCTCCTGCCGTGGGCCCTCTCCATGGGGTCTTCCAGCTCCGACTGACCCGACTCGGAGGCCTGGTGTGAAGGCCTCATGTTCCTGTCACCACAGGTGACAGGAAACCAGACCCGAGGACACAGGAGCTGCGCACTGGGAGGCATTTCTTAGACAGCGGGCGAGGTTGGGCTGCGGCAACTCGAGAACTCAGGCTTTGGAGTCCCTCTGATTGGCCGGCCCGTGTGCTGGGTACTTGGCCTGCGTTATTTTTTTAAAGTCTTCGCAAGGCTGGAAGCGTGGCGACTTGGAGTCTCATTTCCAATGGGAAAACTGGACTGGCCGGTTGGCTGTTCGCGTTTCCCAAGGTCGCGTGTGTTCGTGAATGACACAGCCAGGACGTGCGAGTCTCTGTGACTCCAGAGGCCGCGTCATTTCTCCCCCCACCGCTGTCCCCCTCTAGAAACACCCATGCACACACATATAGTGCATTTTAGAGTCTTCAGTGTTGGTGTGTTTGTGCGCTCCAGCCGGAGGTGTGGGGCGGCCCTGTCTCTCAGGCCCTCGCTTGTCAAGTGTGGACTGATTCCAACCTTGAACTTGCCCACACGTCGGAAGGGCTTCCCAGGACACTGTCAGGCACGAGGACAGGATCGTGCTCCCTCGGACCTCACCGCACCTCTACCAGCCCCTTGTTGACCGATGGATCGTTCGAACTTCCTCTGCCAGCCAGTGGCCGAGGCAAGACGGTGGCCCAGGGCTCTGCATTCTGAGTCCGGTGCCGCCCCTCCCAGCATTTGCCCCAGGTAACCACTCCGGTCCTGGGCGCACAGCCAGGGTCCCTCCTCCAGAGTCTTCCCCGAAAGCAAGCCGGGGAATCTGATCCCCGCCGGGGCTGGCTGCCACACCTCAGCTCTCAGGAGGGTAATGTCTCCCTAGGGTCACGACCTGAGGGCTCAGACACTCTGTCCAGCTGGGCCCTTTGATCTCTATCTTCCCGCCTTTTGAACCGAGAGCAAGCTCTGCAGAGACCTGGGATAGCCCTCGGGTCTCTGAATCTTAATGCTTTCATGTTGTGCTTTGCTTTTGCTCTGCTGGTTGCAACAGGTTTAACTTAACTCAGCTCCATAGGACAGTGTCCAGCACATCGTAGGTGAATTTGTTAGCCATTCTCATTGTGGTTATCCTTAGAATGGCCATGGTAGGCAGAACTGGGCCCTAGGCACTGTTGGGGTCACAGAGGGGTTCAGGCTGGGAGCGGGGACAGACACAGAGGAATAGGGAAACAGAAGACAGATTGGACACGAGGCTAGCTAAGCAGGTGCGTGGCTCCAGGGTACATGGCTTTGTGCGGTGCCCTCTAGTGGTCCGTTTTCCAGCTTTGAGATGCTGAGATTCACTCACTAAGCAGGGGATTCAGGTTGACTTCCTGGGTTTGAGGGTGCACGGGGTGGTGACAGGACCCCACCAGTCCAGGTGTGAATACGGGGCCTCTGACCTGGGCCTTGTCTGCAGGCCTGCCAGCTGAAGACGGAGACCATCACCTACGAAGAGAAGGAGCAGCAGCTGGTCAATGACTGCGTGAAGGAGCTGAGTATGTCCCTGGCCCTCGCCCCCTCCTGTCTCCTCTCTGTACTCAGGCATCTGCCATCGTGGAGACCAGGCAGATCCACATGCCCGACAAAGTGCCGTCTCCCTGACTTTGTGGGCACCCCTCACCCCGATCTGTGAGAATCTGAGAGCCAGGCTGTCAGTCATACGTGGGTCAGTTTCTTGCTGAGATGGGTATTTTAATTTTAATAGTGCTTTCTACTAGAATATTGGACTTACTGCCTGGACAGAGTCCTATGTTGAAAGGTGTGGAAACACTGCTCCCTGCACTTGCTCTGTGAAAGTGGCGGCGAGAGGCCTTCTCCCCCTCTCCAGCACGCGTTGACGAGTTAAGATTAGACAAAGAGGCGCACAGAGCATTTTGAGTTTCAGCAAAATACTAAGTCAATGAAACATACCCTACGTCCGATGATCTAGTAAAGTGATTCGTGGCTCTGAAGATGGGTCGGAAACACCCGAGGGAATGGTTTTGTGCTCCGAGGTAGTTTGTTTCTAGGGCAGGCCCAGCAGGAGTTCCTGTTGATGATGGGGATTTGTCCATGGGTGGAGAGCAGGTGTGGGCCAGACGCACCTTTGTGCTGGCGTGGCACCTCCTGGCTGACTCCAGAAGGCTGCCCGTGTTTCTCTGGAGAGGCAGCCTTGGCCAGTGGGGCGGGCCCTCCTGCTGAGCCCCCCCGCACCCCCCGCACCCCCACCCAGAGCCGCAGTAGGGGGTCAGGTTCCTTCTTGGGACAGCTGGAGCCAGAGGAGGCCGTTCCGCTCCACTTCACCGTAGAGCAAACGGTTCCTCTAAGCTCCTTCTTTTTATGTCCTCTTCGCCTGTCCCCCCAGCCCTGCCCTCATCTTGTAACAGAGGTGCTCTTCCTGGTGCAGAGCACAAAGAAACCGTTCTCCCCGGGTCTCCCTGTGGGGCTCTCGGACTGAGTCTTGTGGTTGTTGTTTCCTGGTCAAAGGGGACGCCAACGTGCAGATCGCCAGCATCTCCGAGGAGCTGGCCAAGAAGACCGAAGATGCTGCCCGCCAGCAGGAGGAAATCACGCACCTGCTCTCTCAAATCGTGGATCTGCAGAAGAAGGCCAAAGCCGTAAGGCCCTTGCTTCCCCGGCCGACACGGGAGGGGCCCTTCTGAGATCAGAGGGGGGCAGAGGGTGTGCCCTTCAGTGTCACGTCTGAGGAGCGGCTGCCCCCTTCACAAAACAGTTTAGCAGATGTAATGATAGACTGTTTACCACCACCTATCTCCTAAGAATAACCTTCCAAATGATTGAATTCACAAAGAAAGGTGCTATTGATCCCGAGTTTTGGAATTTAGCTTATGAACCATCTAGTCCAGTACCTGTTTTTATGTTCTGCGCTGGTTATGTTCTGCTGCAGAACAGAATCCCCTTTGGATTCAAGATGGAACAGCCAAAACCCACCTGGTTTTCCATGTTAGACCTTCTCTAGAAGCGGGAGGTGAAATGCTTCCGGAGAGCAGCTGTGACGTGGGGCTGGGGGTGGAGTGGGCCCTGGAGGATGAATGTGGGTGTGGGAACGGCTGCCTTCAAAATTATATGAAGGGTGAGAATTTCCTCCAGTATAAGAGTCATTGTACAAGTGTCGTAGGACCCTAACAGGTCGGGCATTGGGGGAAAAGTTAGACTTTTCTACGTATCCTGAAAGAGCAGCTGACTTCCCCCTGCCCCGTTGCAGTGCGCGGTGGAGAATGAAGAACTCGTCCAGCACCTGGGGGCTGCCAAGGATGCCCAGCGGCAGCTCACGGCCGAGGTAAGGGGCTCCCCCTCGTTTCATTGGGGCCCCTGAAGCTGGTTGCGGGGAGGGGGGCATCAGCCTCTGGGCTGTGGGGCGTGTTCCCTCAACAACCATTTTGATAGTGAACCGAGTGCTGTTTTTGCTCTGAAGCTGATTCCCACTGATGCCATTACTGGTTGTGAGCGGCCGGAAGCCCGGGCTCTACACCAGCCCGGGTGTGCTCACGGGCTCTCGATAAACGGTCCAGGAAGAGGTGACACAGAGCACGCCCAGTGAAGGGGGCCCATTCAAAGACACCCTGGAGATGAGGGTGTTGCAATTTGCTCTTCCACTGGGTGAAAGGTGTTTTTCATCTCAGGTGCCCCTGGCTAGTGGTTTAGGAGATTTCTGGGTCTGCAGGTGGTGCTCCACGAGAAAGAATAACCGAACCTTGAGGACCCTCAGGCGTTTGGCTTCAGGCCTCGGGGAGCCGGGCCCTCTGGGAGGGTCCTGGGTCTGGCTGTGCGGGCTGGAGGGCGTGTCCCCAGTGCTCACGAGGTGTCTCCTGGCCCCCTGCAGCTGCGCGAGCTGGAGGACAAGTACGCAGAGTGCATGGAGATGCTGCACGAGGCGCAGGAGGAGCTCAAGAACCTGCGGAACAAGGCCATGCCCAACACCACGTCGCGGCGCTACCACTCGCTGGGCCTGTTTCCCATGGTGCGTGCTGCTGCTGCTGCGTCCTGATGCCCTTGCCCCCCCCACCCAGAGGGCGGCAGGGCTGCTGGTGGGACCAGGCCAGGGGGCGGGTAGTCCTTGCGCAGCTTGGATCTGGGTTCGAGCTGAAGGCTCCTGAGCCCAGCTGGTGAGACAGATGGGTCCTTTCTTTCCCATCTCTCTGCACCTGTCATCCTTTGTCCTCCTGCTTGGAAGGAATGTAGCAGGAACTGGATTCCGCAGGAACCTCACATATTGGGAAGATGTCACTGACACATTATTTTTTCCGGCCTGTGTGAGTGCGTGCTACTGTGGTCTCGTGAGAGCATTCTGGAGTTCCTAAGTGGCCCGCGTGGTTCTGCGGGCCCTGGGTCAGCTTGTCGATCATTCTCCTGGTGGCCTTCGGTATCTGTGATCTGAAAAAACGTTTCTCTCTGGGCTGGGAGTGGCATTTTTGTTTTGTTTTTTTTTCATGTGGTTTCCCCCAGAGTCTTAGTGTCTAGCCTGGGCCCGGCCTGTTTCCCGTTTGGACTTCCAGGCCGAGGAGGGGGTGTTCTAGCAGGTTAACTCTCCCTCCGGTTTGGGGCCCTTGCCCCGGCCGGTCCTGTCTCTCTCGGTGGTACTTGCTGAGCTGACTCGTTTTACCTCCTGTCCGACCAAAGCCCGGGGAGGTCGGCGCCTTGTCTGCGTGCGTTTTCCTCCCGCCCGCCCTCTGCGACCCTGCACACAGAACTGTAGATGCTCCATGGATATTAGATTCGGATGGCGGATGGACAGACTGCAGAACAGACTGCCCAGAGCTTTAATTGTGGGGCTGTGTTTCCATGGTTGGGTAAAATATCAGATTCTCCGAGGAGAGAGCTTTTGAGAGAAACTGCCCTGAGCGAGTGGCAGTGGACGGCTGTGTGCATGTTTACACGGTCCCTTCTGAGGGAACCCGGGAAGGGACCCGGTCCCTTCCAAACTTGGCTTTTCCTGGCTCTCTCCCTTCACCCCACCCCTGGTTGTCTGGTCCGTTCTTCCTAAATCATGACTGCTCTTTCTCGGTTGCTTTCATACATCCAAGTCAGGCTAGAACTCCCTCTTTTTCTCTCAACTTGACTGAAATCTAATGACGCCAAAATGAAGGCACAGAATATAAACCGTTGACTTCCCAAGCAGCAGACTGGCGACCCCGTGGTTCCAGGAACCCAGTAAGGAACATTCTGGTCCCGGCCCTGGCTGGTGCGGCTCAGTGGGTTGGAGCATCGTCTCGGAACTGAGAGGTTGCGGGTTCAATTCTCGGTCAGGGCACATGCCTAGGCTGTGGGTCAGAGCCTCGGTCTGGGCGTGCTCGAACCCCCGTCCAGATGCATACGAACCCCGGTGCGGGCACCAGTCCCCTGTCCAGGTGTGCATGGGAGGCAACCAATCGGTGCTTCTCTCTTGCATCGGTGTGTCTCTCTCGCCCTTCCTCTTTCCCTTCCCCCCTCTCTAAAAGCAATGACATGTCCTCAGGTGAGGATTAAAAAAAAAAAAAAAGAACATTCTGTCCCCCCAAATCTCTCAATTGAAAGCTGACCACACTGGACTCCCAGACTGGGCTGTGTAGTTTTGCGCAATTCTTGCCTCGGTTTCCCTCCTTCCTGGCTTCTCACCGGGGTGCAGTGGTCTCCCAGGCCCCATGCAACTGGAATTCACTCCGTCACATTTCCCACTCTCCCAGGACAGACCTGTGTGTTTCAAATTTAAACCATCACACGAGAAGAGTGGCAGTGAACATCTGCGGTTGGGTTTCTTCTGAAGAGATTTCAGCTTTCATGTTTGCTGAGATACAGCTTTTGTTCGCCTCTTTCTGCAGCTGTTGGCACATCTCTGTTGTTGGAGATGTCTCCTTTTAAAGTGCATGATGCATGAAAAGGTATTTTAATCGATGAAAGTTAAATGCAGTCAAGAATTCAGTTCCTCAGCCACGCTGGCTGAGTTGGCCGGTGGCCGCCCCCGTTGGACATAAAGAGAACATTCCTGTCATCACAGCACGTTCTGCTGGTTTGCACGGCTTTGGCTTGCCCCACCAGGTTGTCCTGCACGGGCGCACTCCTGTGAGGCCTCGGCAGGTGCTTCTCCACACACACACCTGGTGCTGTCGGCATCTACCTGTATTTGCACACAGGATTGTCTGTTAGGCTCCAGCGCACACAACAAGAGGCAGTGCGGGTGGCTCTGAACCCCGGGTGAGCTGAGCAGTTAGCGGACCCTGCAGCCTGGGTGGACAGGAACTTAGCGCGGCCCCCGTGGGCATGACATTGTCCCTCACTGCCCGTAAGCTTAGCGGCCCGTGGCTGCCATTCTGGACACAGTTCTCTCTCCCTGCATAAGTTCTCCACCTCTCCTGGGACCGCAGTTGCAGCTCCATGGTTTGGCCGAGAGCATTAGGATTTGCCTGCAGACCCTTAGCTGTGTGGAAGCGATAGGGCCTTTCCATTCAGTACCGCTGGGACCTGCTATGTTCGGTGCCTGCAGCGTTCAGAACCTGCCCTGGGGGTCGCTTCGCCAGGGTCTCTGATGGTGGCCAGTCTCGTGTTGCGGGAAGTCTGCGGGCTTCGAGGCTTCAGTTGACCCCCCTGTGGCTCGCCTGGGCACGTGCCCCTCTTAGAGACAGCGTGTCTGGGTTGCCGCTCACACGAGTGTCTCCTCGCTCTTCCCAGGACTCCCTGGCAGCCGAGATCGAGGGGACGATGCGGAAGGAGCTGCAGCTGGAAGAGCCCGAGTCGCCGGACATCGCGTACGGCCTTACTCCTGAGCGCCCCAGAGAAACCGCGGTGACCCGGGGATGGCGGGGGTGGGGGGGGGGGGGTCGGAACGCGCCCTGCCTGGGCCTCCGGCTCCCGCAGTGGTCGCTGAGGTCCCTCCACAGATGAGGGGGTGAGAGAACAGCATCCCTGAGCTCTCCCATCAGGCGTTAAGGACACATCACGAACTTCCCGAAAGTTGGGAGAGGAGAGATGTGGTTCCCGTCTCTCTGAACACAAGCTCCGCCTGGACACCTCCATTCATTTTCATCTTCCCTCTCAGAGGAAAACATTACTTGAAAACAATTTAACACTTTTGAGGAAAGGAATAAGTAGGGTTCCGTTTCCCTTCTGCACCCGTTCCGGGACATTGACCTCTGCGTCTGTCCTTGTGCTCGGCCCCCCCGAGCTGTTTATGAGGAACCTGTGGGTCTGATTTCATCGTGTGTTCTCTGTCCCAAAGCCCCCTGGACAGAGCCGAAGAGCGGCCCTGGGAGTGCCCAGTGTCCCTGCGCCTCGGCGCAGGTGTGAAGCCGCACCCCAGAAAGAAGTGTCTGTTGTAGAAATGTGCCTTGTTCTCCTTAAAAGGGAACCAGTGGGCGCCAAATGTGCGGTTCTGCTCTTAGAAACAGCAGTCCCTAAAAACAGACTCATCTGGTGTTTATCATCTCAGAAGTTTGAGACAAACTTTCCCTTGCTTTTTTGATACACGGTCATGGGCTGCATAACGATATTTTGCTCAGTCATGGACCACATGTGTGACAGTGGCCCATAAATTATGATGGAGCGGAAAATCCTACCACCTAGTGACGCCATAGCTGTCATCATGTCATAACACAACGCACTATGTGTGTGGCGACGCTGGTGTAAGCAGACCCACTGCGCTGCCAGTCGTATAAACGCGTACCACGTACCATTACGTACAGCACCTAATACTTGATAATAGATGACTAGGTAACTGGCGTAAGTAGTTATTATACATGTATTATTTTTTAGAGCATACTACTTCTATTTAAAAAAGTTTGCTGTAGAACAGGAGGGCACGCTATGCCTGCCGCAGCTTCACATGCCCCCGGTTTACCACGTCTCTTGAGGGCATTTTTCTCTTGTGTCGATTCGACCTTGTGCTGCTTCGTGCACTAACGCGCTGTCCAGGTGTGTAGCCGGGGGACAGTGGGCCCTATCATCTCGGTGTGTGCACGTGCACTCTCTCTGTGATGTTCACCGACGACACAGTGGCATAACGATGCATTTCTCTAAATGTGTCCCTGTCATTAAGCAGCCCGTGACTGTGTATGAATCGCCAGGAAGTACTCGTTCTACAAATGTTTGTTGAGCCTTCTCCTGTGCTGAGCAGCAAACCTGGCCCTCCTGGCGTTTGCGTTCTAGCGGCTGTCAGGGGAAAGCAAACTGCCTGGGAGACAGAGGACTACTGACGTGTTTCTATTTGTAGGTTGAGCCGAAGGGAGGTGGGAAGCCATATCACTCTTGCTGCCATCCCCTTTGGGACGCAAACACACATTAGAACCCTGAATTCAGTGGGTAGTGAGTGAGCCTCTCGAATTCCAACCAACACCCTAAGAAACACGTGGAAGGCATAGGATGGCAGGGTGCTTGGACCTGGGCCAGCTACCTTTTTGGCTTCTCAGTTGCTAGTTTTTGGAGGCTTTAGCTCCAAGGTTATTCCTACGCTTGCTTCATGGAAGATGTTGTGCATTCTCCCCAGCCACCAGAAGCGAGTCTTCGAGACCGTGAGAAACATCAACCAGGCCGTCAAGCAGAGGTCCCTGACCCCCTCCCCCATGAACATCCCCGGCTCCAACCAGTCCTCGGCCATGAACTCCCTCCTGTCCAGCTGTGTCAGCACCCCCCGGTCCAGCTTCTACGGCAGCGACGTCGGCAATGTCGTCCTGGACAACAAGACCAACAGCATCATCCTGGAAGCAGAGTCCACCAACATGGGGTGAGCCAGCCAGGAGCTGTTACCTGCTTCGGAGACAGGTGGTGTGGATTGAGCACAGGCTCGGTAATCAGAGAGAGGGGCTGATAAGAATCACCTGAAAAATACAGACCCGTTAGTTCTCAGATGTGTTTTACCGCCTCCCCCCGCTGAGTCCATGCTCGTCCTCGATACTGATATTTTAACCAGTCTGAGGAGGTAGTACAGGATGCAGCGGGAAGTCTGCTGTTCCGTAAAGTGCCGACGGAGCGGATAAGTGAATATTTGATTCTGTTCATCTTCCCTGTGAAGGCTAAAGCGGAGACATTTGTTTTGTGAACCCTCTGGTGGCCGGGGTGCTTGAGAGGCCTCAGGATCTATCTCGTGACCGGATTCTGGTGAGCCTCAGAAGGCGGGGTGCGGGGCGCCCCGCAGGTGCCCGCCACCTGGAACGTCCCTGCAGCGGGCCTTGCGAGCAGCGGTCGGTCCCTCTCTGCCTGGCAAACACAGCCCAGCATTGTCCACTATACTCACACTACTCCCGGGTGTGAATAAAGTTGGCTTTTCCGACTGGCTGGCTCAGACTGCAGGGAAACCGCATGATTAAAACAGGTCTGAGCTTTCGGCTCCTTAAATTCAAGAAGAAAGAGAAGCATTTCTTGAGCCTGCTGCGCTTCTGGGAACTAGGAACTGCAGTGAAAGAAAGCTTCTTCCTGAGGGGGTTGTTTGCAGAGACTGGATTTTACATTCTATGGGCAAATTTTCATTCTGCTTCAGTGTTCTCTTCCCTCTACCCTCCCCCTACCAAAAAAAAGAAAAAAAGCAACAGAAGGAATTAGTTCTTCCGGACAGGCCTTTGTTTCCCCATATTTGCCTACATTTCAACAGCTGGCCTTGGTTTCCTTAGAAAATCCTGCAGCCACCCTTGCCCGTTCAGCATGGAGGCCTCCTTGTGTGTTGTACAGCGCCCCCTGCTGGGTGTCCTCCATTCGCCCTGTCTCCTCTCTTTCCAGAAACAACGAGCAGAGTAAGAAGCCGGGGACGCCAGGCACGCCGGGCTCCCACGACCTGGAGACGGCGCTGAGGCGGCTGTCCCTCCGCCGGGAAAACTACCTGTCGGAGAGGAAGTTCTTCGAGGAGGAGCAGGAGAGGAAGCTGAGGGAGCTGGCGGAGAAGGGCGAGCTGCTCAGCGGGGGCTCCCTCACGCCCACCGAGAGCATCATGTCCCTGGGCACGCACTCCCGCTTCTCCGAGTTCACCGGCTTCTCGGGCATGTCCTTCAGCAGCCGCTCCTACCTGCCCGAAAAGCTCCAGATCGTGAAGCCGCTGGAAGGTGATCACCTGGGCCCCCGGCCCCTCTCTGCCCTCCTCGGGGACTCCCTGTGGTCTCTGATCCACCACCAGCCAGCAGGCAGCCTCTGTCACACCTACTCCTTCTTCTTCAAGGACAGCCGCCCGCGCTGCTGGTTCGAGTTCCTCTGAGGAGCTCCCACTAGGCCCCCAGGTCCCCGTGCAGGTTTGCAGACGCACACACGCGGGCACCCACACTGACGCGGGCCAGGAAGCCAAAGACCAGAACACCTTGACGTTGCCTTTCTAGCTCTCTCTCTTTTGCATAGATCCTTAGAAATACAGATCTTTCAGCCAGCGGCGTCGCGTTGCTCATGTGCTCAGAAGTTCCTTAGGTTCGACCCCGGGGGTCCGAGCAGTGTAGAGAATTAAGGCTTTGACTCCTGGGAAATTTTGGTGCCAAGAAGGGCGGGGTGCAAAGCGAACGCTCTAAGTTTTCTCAGTAACCACGTGAAAGCGATTTGCCATTTGTCGGCTCGCAGGTTCCGCTGCGGTCTTCAAATAAATAGTGCGGCTTTCTTCCTACGCGGTATTCTCAGCAAGTCCCCCAGACCACCACTCTTTGAGGGCCAGGAGGGGGGCGGCCGGGGAGGTCAGGGGGCCCTGTGCCTCCTTCACCCCGCGTTTTCCAGGGGGCAATTACCTTTTTACTCCCAGGGACACCCCAGATGACTGAACTCATGAGAAAAACGCGCCACTTTTTCTTTCTTTTTCTTTTATTCATTATAAAAATGTTTGTCTGCCCTTTACCTTCCACTTCCCGGCCCCATGTTTGTTATTTTCAGTTTCTGCTCCTTCAGTTTGGAAACGCTGTGTGTTTGAGGAAGGTGTTTTAGAGCTCTGTATCACAGTTCTGATGAAAAGCCAAATCAAAATTTCTGTAAGGCAGTGTTTTTCAACTTTGAAAAAAACTGTGCCCCCTTGAAGGAGCTGTCTTAGATATTTATTCCCCCGACAATGTACTAGCACCAACCAATACGCTGTTTATGGGCTCCAGGTGTGTCTGTGCTCTGTGCCTAAAGAGCAGATTCTTCTCTCCCCAGAAGAACCCGTTTTCAGCCCCTTGGGGGCAGTATTGCCCCCTGTTGAGAGCGCCTGTTCTAACATGAGCTGGTGCTTGTTAAAGACCCAAGGCAAGCTGGGTTCCATAGTCTCCAAAGGACGGAAGGAAGAGGGTGGGGTGTGTTCTTTTTTTTTTTTTTTTCCCCATGATTATTTTTGAATTGTATAATTTTGGTCCTTAGAGTTCAGACAAGAGATGGCTCATTTTTTTTCTTCATGTTTATTCAGTTGTAAGTTTGGTGATTGTTTTCTGATCCACGATTATGTGTTTTTCTTTCAATAAAATCTTCCATTTCTGCAATTTTACTTTCTGCCTTTCTTTTCTTTTTTCTCTTTTTGTCTCTCAGAAATCATTGGAGTTTATCATCTCTATCTTGTCTACGTTCTGTATTTGACCTTGTGTTTCATTAGACCATCTAAGGACATGCCTTTGGATCCATTTCCCAAGCATTAGTGCAAGAGGAGATTTTTTTTTAATTTATTTTGATCAATACGTCTTTTTTTCTTTTAATCTGGTAACTTAGGTAGCAGTATTTTTGTGATAAGCTAATGGGCAAAGAGGAAATCCCATTAGATTTGCAACATAAATTTCATCGATAGTACCCTGCTCACCAAAAAGCTAAGTCATGACCATTAAGAAATCATATCTTATCACTATGGCCTGTATCTCGCCCTCAGAGAGGTCCCTCTGGCTCCATTTTGTAGTTCTCAGACTTTTTAGTTGTTTACAACACACCAATCTTTTATTTCTTCCTCCCCATCACAATTATTTTTTGTGTCACTACGTTTAATTTGACAAGGTGTCCTGCTGGCATGGAAATCTGCTCAACACCTCAGTTCAGTGCTACTCTGTGACATTGGATAAGTCCCCTCCCCTTCTTGAGCCCTCATCCCCTTATTTGTGATGGAGAGTAAATGTGATATGTTTGTAATATGCCTGGCACCTAATTCAACTTAGGATTCCCAAACTTGACCCTGGTCTAGCAGCTCAGGCCTGAAGACAGCCTCGTGGAGACGTGGGCCAGCCTTGTGCTGGGGCCACGTTCTTACATCATCTCTTCCCATTGGCCCGCTGAGAAGCTGATAGGGTTCCTGTGGTCTCCAGTGACCCAGGTAAACGGACCCGAGAATGTTGGCCGGAATCGCAGCAGATAGCCAATCTCATCTTCCATCGGCGTCTCCCTTACCTCTTCACTTAACCGTGCTATCTGCCTGTGGGAGTCCGCCAGAACCACGGGGCTGGGTGTTTAAGAAGGCGAGCACTCGTGTTTCTTCCGCTCACCTGACGTGCTGTAGGCAGGTGAAGAACAAACACAATATTCAGACCGGAAGAGAAAGATGTGCATTAAAAAGATGAGTTGGGCGGTATTTTCCCCGCGTTTTGCTCTCCCTTTCTGATCGTTGTCACCAAAGTAGTATTTCCAAGTTAACAAGGTAATATGCAAGTAGGGAAAAGCGTACACTTCCAAGCTGCCGTTACCCAGCAGGGTTAGTTCTAACTTGTGGGCCCCCCCTCTGAGGACACGAGTACTTTTGGGGTAGAACCGTGGGGTGTGGAAGGAAGGCCAACGGAGGGGCAAGGCAGTAACCGTAAGCATGTTTTCTGCGCGGCCCACGCCCTTGTTTCTGAGGATTTCATCTTGGTGCCAACTGCAAGCACAGAGGTCGCGCTCTTCCCTGGCCCTGTGGCCTGACCGCAGCCTCCTTCTCATGGGGGTGGGAGGCGGTGGTGGTAGAGGGAGGGAGGTAATAGCGCAGTCAGTCCTCACCTACTGCCGTCCGTGGGTCCTTGGAACTGCCATTCAGGTGTGTTGGTGGCCTTTTCTGAGACTCACATGTGGGAGGCCTGCTCACTGCCGGCGGGAAGGCAGCCGGTGTGGTTCAGAGGAGGGACAATGGAGGCAGCCCGGGTTCGAATCACATCATGGCCACTTGCCAGCAGTGCAGCCCCCAGCAGGTTGCTTTACCTCTCTGTGCTCAGTGTCCTCACCTGTCAAATGAGGACAACAGGGTGATCACAACAATTGAGTAAATGCAGTGAGTAAATGCAGACCCCTTAGAAGAGCGCCTGGCACTTAGTAAGTGCTCAATAAAAGTTAGCTGCTCTTCCATGAGCACAGGAGGCCTGAGGCCTGGGGTAAAAGCCCAACTCCATGCACCTTTTAGCATGACCTTTGATTGGCAGCCTCACTGCATCTTACTGGCTTTGGATTGTCAGGGAAGGCACAATAGCCCCATGCACTTCCGCAGCCTCTTTAGCTCCCACAGCAGTTCCATCGTAGGCTTGTTTCTCTCTGGAGCCACGCACGGGGGAGGAGGCGAGGGGGGCCGTCTGCTGAACAGGAGGGTCGAGGTGCGTGGGACTCTGGTCCTGGCCCAGCCTTCAGCCTCCCCGCGTTCTTTCCCAGTGCGTTGTAAAGACCTCACGCCCCCTTTAGGAGCATGAGACTCAGCCCTTCCTCGGCGTGGCCACATTGTGCCCGGGGATTTCTCGTCTCCTTCTACGGCCCGCATGCGCCGTCCCAGGCTGGAGCCACAGGCCTTGCTGACGACTCCTCCCCATGTGCTGTTGTCTCCAGGAATGTGCCTGAGCCCCCAGCGACCACGTGAACAGGGGGACCGTTGTGGGTTACAAATGGGGGTCCCCGGGGGGGGGCGGTGGTGGCAGGAGAAGCCCCACCAGCAGAAGTGCGTGTGTCTCCCAGTGGGGCCCGGATACCCACCTGGAAGTTCACCGCTCACCGTTCATGCTTCTCACTTAATCGGTGCTCCTGGCTGGATCGCTGATGTCCTTGCTTGTTTTCAGGCCTGTGGATTTGGGCGGGGGGGCGGGGGGCATGTAGCCAGAGATACTGAAAGAACCTGGCTTTGGCACCGAACCCTGCCTAGGCCACCACTGTTCCGGGGACTTCAGAAAGTCACGTCACTTCACCGGGCCTCGGTTCCCTCCTGTGGGGAGTGGGGGGGGCAGTACTTCCCAGGGCGGTTTTGAGCAGGGAGTTGCCGTATTGCCTGTAAACTGGCTGCCGTGCAGGCGTGCCTCGGTGCAGGGCAGCTCTTTGTACAACGTGACGCCCCGGCACCTGGGCCTCGGGGTCCCGTGAGCTGGTCTCAGCGTGTGTGCGAAGCCCTGGCCGTGCATGTGTGCATGCGAGGCTTATGTGCAAGGCCCCTTTGGGGAGAGAATCTGCCTTCAGATTCTCAAAGGCCCTGAGAGGGAAGACCCACAGCCAGGGGGAGGTCAGGGGTTCTCCCTCTCGCTGCTGCTGATGTCGGACCTGACCGCTGTTTGTGGCGGGGGCTGTCCTGTGTGCTGGGGGGTGGAGGGGGCATCCCCGGCGTTGCCCACTGGATGCCATTAGCAGCCCCTCTCCCTCCACAGTTGTGACAACTGAAAGTGCCTCTGGATATTACGAAACGTCCCCTGGGGGTCAAAATCACCCCCCCCCCCCCGAGAATCAATGTGCTAAGTGTGTCTCACCACCTAGTGAGGGAACAGGCCTGTGATGCCTCTTCATGACACGCATGTGTTTTCAAATGTTCTTTCTTTTCCTGTTTGCATTCAGAATCTTCTCTGTTTCTATCGAATAGATTCCGGTTAAGCAGGCTGCTGTTGTACTGGTGTGTAGTTAATAGGGGGACAGGCCTCAAAGTGGGGCTCCAGGAAGTCTTCCAAATGTGTGTTGGCAATTTTCCTCTCTTCAGTGGCCTTGAAATGGCCCATTTGTGACACTCTTCCGCAGCTCCTCGGCTGAGTGTGGCCCGTGGGAAGTCACCGTCCAGCCGTGAGGAGAGGCCGCGCCCCCGCTGGGCACCCCCGAGGGCCGGGAGCTTCTGATCGATGAGCATGGGTTCTCCGTGCCTTGGCCACGTTCCCGGTTGGCTTCCTGACCTCGCCGCCTGCCCTCCTTTCCCTTCTGTGCCGTCCTGAATTCCCCGAGCTGCCGGCTCCGGTATCCTTGGTTCCCATTCTGATGGGGCAGCCCAGTGGCTACAGGGGCTCTTGCCCCGCCCCCCCAACAGAGGATGCAGTCAGTGAGGCAGCAGTGACGGTCTGAGAGGCCACGTGGGTGGGAAGGCCTTTGCCTTCCACGGCCCGAGACCCTCTCCCGAAGTCTGTCTTGAGTGTGGGATGTTGATGTGTGTGTGGTTCACTTCATCTAGCGGGGTGAGGACAGGACACCCAGCCTCCCTGGCCGAGCCCCCGTAACACCAGGGCCATGGGAGGCACAGCCAGTGCTCCAAGGGGACAGTGGGTGGGGCAGCCTGTGGCCACGGCCACGTGGCAAAGGTTTGTTGCTGATCCTCAGGGAACACACGTCTCCACCCCAGCTTCTGCAGCACACCTGGTCTTGGAACGCATCTCTCTGTGAGCACCTGGGGCCACCCTGTGAGGTCCCCAGGGACACACTCTGGCGTTCTTATAGATCTCTCGAGGTGCCATCCAAGTCCTGGGGTCCGGTGTCACCGGGGAGATCGGCTCCTCCTTCTCAGACCCCTGTGTGGACCTGCTGCGTTCTTCCGTCACCCCTCCTTTAGGCCAGTCCCCTGTCCCTAAATCTGGGGCGTCTCGAGTTGCAGGTGCAGGACACCTCAGTGAAGCGGGCCAGGGCCTCGCCCACCTCTCCTCCATGTGCCGCTTCCGTCTCTTTCTGCTTTTCTCTTCTCGCAGTGCCTGGGGTGGCTGGGCATCGTCCCGTTCTCGCTCTGCTGCGTCCTCCCCGTTCCCAGCAGTGCACACTCCACACAGAGTCAGGACGTGGGGCCCCCTCCCAGAACCCCCTTTCGTGCCTGTCTCACTTATGTTTTCCTCTTCCCTTCCTAACATCACGCCGTGTTGGACTTGGGGGTTGGCATCACTTGATTTAAATTGAAGTGTTTGTCCCAAACACCGTCAGCACACGGTATGGCAGGAGTTTTACGTCACATTTGAAAAATTATTTTTTTAGTCCTTCAATTGGCGCCTCTTCCGGGTGTGGTGGGTATTAGCTGCAGCTGCACAGCAGAAAGGTGGGGGGGAGGGGGCAGGGCCACCCAGTCCCTGCCAGAGCCCCCCCCCTACCGCAGAGCTCAGGGCCTGCTGGGGCTCCCGAGGGGGGTGAGCAGCCGTCAGCTCCGATGCCCGTCCTAACCCTCTCTCCTCCCTGTGCCCCCTTGTCTGCCCTCTCTCCTGCAAGGTTCCGCCACCCTTCACCACTGGCAGCAGCTGGCTCAGCCTCACCTCGGGGGCATCCTGGACCCCCGGCCCGGCGTGGTCACCAAGGGCTTCCGGACGCTGGACGTGGACCTGGACGAAGTGTACTGCCTTAACGACTTTGAAGAAGACGACACAGGTGACCACATTTCCCTCCCGGGCCTAGCTACCTCCACGCCAGTGCAGCACCCAGAGGCCTCAGGGGAGAGGTCCCGAGCACGAGTGACTGTCTCAGGCAGCAGAAGTTACCCGAGCCGGCCTCAGGCTTTCCCAGAAGAGATGCAGGAGCCGCCCGCGGCCACGGAGGAGGAGGAGGAGGAGGAGGAGGAGGAGGGGTCTGGTGAGGGCACCGAGATACGTCCTGTCAACCGGGCACCTTTACCGGAGGCAGAGTTCTGGGCCATTGTCACCTCTGTCCCGAGCGCCATCCGTAGTAGTGCCTCTCTGTCTGTAGCTTCCGCGCGTCTGTGTGGGTGACAATGAAAGCACTCCCATCATGCCATTCTGGTTGCTAACGCAGAGTCGGATGCCTCCTTTTGTAACCAATGGGTGCAGCTCCCTGCCCATCCTGGAGGTACACGGCCCAGCGGGGCTCTTGAAGCGGGAGCGGGAAAGGCTGCTAAAAAGAAGTGGATTATTGCACCCCCCCTGAACCCCCCACCCCACAAACATCAGCTCCCCTCCTCCTGTTATGGGCCTCCCCCCGTGTCTAAGAGACAGAGTCTTGAGTACCCTGGTGATTTCCAAACTGAGCTGAGCTGAGCTGGGCAGTTTTAGGGGGAAGGATGATTTCTGGATCGTTCAGAAGGTGCATGAGAGCACTTGTGACCCACGAGCCGCATTAGAGTAGGAGAGAGCACGGGAAGCGTTGAGGATTTGGGGCCACACGTGATCAGCCCTTGAACTTTCCTAACTTGAATGAAGGTGTATGAGCTTCCTTTCCAGCTTGCTTGTTTGTTCAAAGTGGATTTTTAAAAAGCGCTTTTTAGCAGTACTCCCTAACTAAAGCGAGCCCGAGAGGATGTCAGGAAGGTCTTCTAGAGAGAGGGCACGAGGTGCATCTGGAAAACAGCCTGGGCTAGTCTCCCCTCTAACCCTCTCCCCCACAGTCCCAACGGGCATGAAGGCTGGGACCATGAGTGTATAGAGCTGCCCGCCTCCTAGGCGCCACTGGGTTGAAAAGGCTCGTGCTCAGGGCCCTGGGACCATGGCGGGGCACGGGGTTACCAGTTGCCAGACTCCCGGACCCCCTGGCTGCATGCGCTAAGAGGAGAAGGAGGCTCTTATGGGGCATGAGGAGAGACCCGGAAAAAGATGGGTTGACCAGTGGTTCTGTCCTCGTGATGTTCCCGAGTCACCGCGTTTGAAAGGAGTATGCTCATTCATCTCTGTGATTCATAACTCCCACTCACGGAGGCCACGGCATTCCCTGTACAATGCACGAGGGGGCAGAGCTCAAGTTGTTGGTGGCAAACCTCTTTTACTGTCGATTTGTTTTTAATTTATTCTTCTAGAGAGAGGGGAAGGAAGGGAGAATAGGGAGAGAAACATTGATGTGCCAGAGAAACATGGTTCAGTTGCCTCTCACACGCCCCCTCAACCGGGGACCTAACCCACAACCCCAGTAGGTGCCCTGACAGGGAATTGAACCGGCAACCTTTCAGTTCGTAGGCTGGTGCTCAACCTACCGAGCCGCACCAGCCAGGGCTGCTGGTGGCATCCGTCATCCCCTGGCGGAGTGCAGATGCCTGTGGCCCGGGAACTTTATTTGGGACTGGCTTTTCTTTTTTGCTTGAACACAAACTCTAGAGGTGTCCTCACGCTAAAAGGATTTGTGTAGCAGATAGGCTTATTTACGGTTTATTTTATTTTAGGCAGCTATTAAGCTACCAGATTAAGCTCGCAAGGGAATGAGTGACAACACTTACTTTTCGGCACCCTCGTGTTTGGGAAAGGGAAGCGGGCGGCGCGGTCGCGGCCCTGCGTTGTGAGCGCCGGCGCCCCCGGGGAAGACGGACAAGACTGCAGGCCAGACCGTGTCTGCCACGTTTCGTGGCTCAGGTGGGAGGGAGCGAGGCGGGGGCGATGACCCCTCCCCGCAGCCCCTCACGTGGACCAGACGGTGCGTCCGGAAGTCTACAGAAGCACCTTTAGGTGCGTCTTCGAGAAGTGGCTCAGAAGGGGTGACGCTTACAGCGTCCACTGAGAACTTCCGTCTGAAATCAGAGGGAGAGAGGAGGGGACCCATGACGAGGACCTAGCTCCCAACCCCTTTTCTTAGTAACAAGAACATGCAGAATGTTCTTGAGTCTTCCCTCCTCACTCAGCCCTGCAGGGAACCCATCCCCCACCCCGCGGAGAGGCTCCCAGAGGCTCAGGAGCCAGGCTGCCGAGGGGTCGGGTTGGAAGTGCGCCATCGAGGAGGGTGGCGCGGGTTGCGGAGGAAACTTAGGACAGGTCCGAGAGTTTAGACGCGCGTTCTCTGGGGCTTGCTTCCTGGGTGAGGCTCGGTGAAAGCTCCTGCAGAAAGGAGAGGCACCGACAGCGGTTGGGCTCCTTTTTCGCTGTCCCCGGGAACGGCGGGACCGTTCTGGTTCTTGGAACTCGAGAAGCACGTTGCTCTAAATAATGCCCCCAGAGGCCCGGTGTGGCACTAGGTATACATACAACCTTGGCAGCAAGGGTAGACAGGTAAGTGTCAGCAGGAAGGCCTGGGCATCTTCAGTCCTGGCATTTGAATCCAGGCTGGTCTGGTCCCCGCCCCGCCCCCCCAGGTCCAGCCTCCCAGCCCCGGGAGCTGCCCTCAGCCTGGGACCACTGAGGAGGGACAACTTAGGGGACAAAAGGTGATGAACCTTTTTTTCTTGCAACTGGCCTACGGGAGGACATTGAGAAGACGTGTGTAGTAGGCACTTTTGTCTGGAGCCTGCTATCCCACGGAGAAAAAGTTTTGAGTACATACTGAAAACAAAAAACATATTCATATATTTTAATGTTTTATTCCTGTGTCACGATTTGCCGATTTTTATGACCCCGTGTCTTACAAACGATGACTCCTTGTTTTCATATTTGTAAATCATTTAGATAATTAAAACGGATTGTTGAAAACAATTCTTAGGTTAGAGTTTTACTTTATTTCAGTGAGTGCTGAGTTTTAATTCATCCGGCAGGGGCGCTTTATCAGAGGAAGCAGTTGCTCTCTCTGGCACTGACAGGGTGCTCCGCTCCCATGCTTAGGAGCAGGGAGGAGCCCGCGGGTGGTTAAGGGTTCAGGTCAGCGCTCAGGCCTTGGTGGATGATTGGACGGACAGTGCGGTGGAATTTTTTCTCGGACGCCTTGACCCTAGAGGGCAGAGGAGGTGGGCTTACAGCAGCAGAGCTAGAAGAAAGTGGAGGCCAGCCTACGTTCACACTCAGACATGTGGAGACCACCTCAGCCGGGGGGTAGACCCTCGACCAGGCTCTGACGCACACACGGGCCACGGCGGCCTTCCGGACAGCGGCCGTGCGGCGTGCCGCCTGTCCTCTTGGGCCGCAGTCGCTCCCGGACGTCCGTGTGGGCTCACAGGAGGGTCCTCGGAAGGACTGCCTGCCGCGGTGGCCTTGGGAGAGAAACGTTTCTGCCGTCCCCAGCACACGGCCAGCCTGCCCTTCCCTGGGGGTGGGGAAGGAGAGCCCCATTCGGACGCTGAAGTGCGTGAGCTGGCGTGTACCGATCTGATCTGGATGGCCAGACCGCGGCGTCCCAGCGTCCTCAGGTCCCCACCAGGGCGTGCTGGCCTTGCTCACGCCCCTCCCTCTCCTCTCCTTTGGGAGGGTGGTGGGCTTTCCTGCACATCCTCCCTCCCTGGAGGCCCGAGCGTTCCACCAGCAGACCGCCCGGGTCTCGCCCATAGTCCCCAGCATGGTCTGCAGGGTGTGTCTAGGGCGTCACTGGAGAGAGGGCATAGGGGGCGCTAGACACCCCCATGCCAGCACAGCAGCAGGAGCCCATGCGCCCAGTTTTCCGGTCAGTACCAGGTCTCACGGGCCCCCAGAGGAGCACCGCGGTCAGAACCCGTACCAGGTGCATGCCTGCAGAACAGAGACCTGCACACACGTCACCCACACGTGATTCACCAACACAGGTCTCGAACGATCCAGGGCTAATGAAGTTCAGAGGTTATCTCTAGTAGGTCAGGATTTTGTGCCAGGGTCAGCCCCTGGGGAAGGAGGAACAGATGAAAATAATAAAGGATTAGGGGTTTTATCGGGGCAGACAGGCACCTTCCTTCCTCAACAAAATCCTTCAGGAAAGAAAGCGCTGGGCAGGGCAGCGTCAACACTCTGAGCGGCTCCCTCTCCCCACGCGACACTGAGGACGGGTCACACAGAGACAAAGAACCAGGGTCTGAGCCGGCAGGCAGAGCACTGGGTCCCAGCAACGAGCGCCGTCCTCGGAGGCCCCGGAGGCAGGGCTCGGTGCGTGCCGGTGCGATGTGTGCGGGCTTCAGGAGTGAGCCCGCCCCCCCCCAGCCCCCGCCCCGCTGAGAAGACCCTGCCTGTGCCCCCTCCTGTGAGAAGTCGCTCTTCCCCACGCAGGGCAGGCTGGCAGGAAGCGCCCGGAGCTGTTCTGTGGCTACTCCAGGAGCCTCGGGCGACTCACTGTCCCTGTGTTGTGTCCCAAGGAAGGGAGGTGCTGCAGCAGCCGGGCAGGCGGTGACACGCGGTGACACGTGGAGAGCTGGCGGGTCCCAGGCGTCCCAGTGGTATTTCGGAGGGGCCCAACCTCTCTGCCTTTGGCACTTTTGGAAACGAGTCGATTTTCCTTGGGCTTCTAAAGCTGTCTCTTCCTTCTGGGGAACAATGACTTCTGAATTTTAGCAGCCTTTTCCTGTCCCCAAAACCCACTTGCGTAAGATGGGTTCTGCTTCTGTTGATGCCACTGTGTCTCTCAAGTGTCCATCTTACGCCTCCTGTTGCAATAGAAGATCCCATGGTGGGGGGAGGGGGGAGGGAGGGAGCGGCGTGTCCCCTTGATATGACGTCTGGCCCTGTGTTTAAATGGGACACGCTTCTAATTTCAAACCAGCCTTGCTTTTATTTGATTTTTTTTAAATGTTACCTCTCTTCCAAACGTTTCTTCTCAATTACTTCTATCTACCGCCTTTTTCTTTCCTCCTGCTTAAATAACCCCTCGCGGTATTTGGGATGCTTTTCTCAGGGGTTCTGTTGCTTTTGTTCCTAGACCTCATGGCAGTCAGAGAATCGTGATTGTTCGGTTGCCTTTTTTCCATCGCTCATTCCATTTTTGTTTTGCTTGCAGCAGCTTCTCGGGCATCCGAGTCCCTAAACGTTCCATCCATTAGTTGGCAAACAAAGATTCATCAAGGCTATTTTTATGCGCCCCCCCCCTCCCCATCCTTTGCCTGGAGCTCCTGTGGTTGAGTTTGCTTTTCTGGCCACGGCACCCGCTGCCACGCAGGGGGGCACAGAGCCCCCCTTGACCCAGAGAGAGACGGGTCAGACTGTAATAACCAGGACGAGCCAGGCTTGCGTTGCCGCCATTTTTGTGCTCTGGCTTCGTCCTGCCTGCCTGCCTGCCGTGTGCGTGTGCCCAGCAGTTTTTGTTTGTTTGCTTGTTTGTTTCATCTTGTTCTGGTGTTTGGTTTTTTGTGTTTTTTTCCTAAGACACCATCAGCCATGCGTGGATCTGTAGGTCTGGAGCACCGATCTCTTCGGCTGTGGCTTCCTTTTCTTTTTTTGTCCAATCCCAGAGAAAACTTGCCATAAAGAGCCAGAAGATTCTCACGCACAGCCTTTTGAATCTTCAGAGTGCTCATGGCCCCTGATGCCCCGATCAGTTTTCTCCCAGGAGGTCTCTGGGGGCGCTGAGCTGCTGCGGGGGTGGGGGGGGAGTGGGCTGGGAGGGTGCCCGGGGTACCCCAGTACTTCATCGTGCATGCTATCTGGAACAGCATCTTTTTTCCCCTTTTTTCTTCATTTTTGTTAACGTCTGAGTTCTGAGTGAGGATGACCTCTGCAATCATGACGTCTCCCCTAGACCCTCCCTCCGATCACTCCCCCGTTCTCTGGCGCTCGGCCCCAACGCTTCTGTGATGGACTGCTCCAGCTCGCAGCCTCCAGCCGCCTTACCAATAACCCGGTAGACCTTTCAAAGGAAACAAATTGAGGGTCACTTGTTGCCGTCTCATTTTCATTAGAAATCAGGCACCCTAGAGACGGCACGAAAGCGGCCCTGGGGGCTGGCGCCATGGGCACCACTGGGTGCCCGCCCCGCAGACAGCCCTGGGTCCCGGGTCCCGGCCACGTTATTGCTGAGGCGGCGGAGCCCCCACGCCACCCCCCCGCCGGCCACACACAGACAGTAGTGGAACCAGCCTCCGCAAGCCCCTTTTTGTGTTAACAGAAAAGGGAGCCGCACGAGCCTTGCCCCGTGCCCGTGTGGCAAGTGCCTCTCCCCCCGCCCCCCGCGCCCATCCCCCTCCTCCGGCAGAGTTCTGCAATGAAAAGAAATGTAAAGCAACCAAGACCGAAGCCAATTCTGACCCCTGAAAAGGGAAACCAAATTGACCCCCCACGGGCCCCTTAGCCCCTCGAACTGGATCCACTACTGGCCACAGAACCCCCGTGGGGAGCCCTGCCTGGACTGGGCTGGAAGCTGGACTCCGATGCTCTGCACGCAGTGCCCCCCCCCCGAGTGTGGTCACTCTCGAGGGACCACCTTCGACCCAGAACATGGGCGTTTCACCTTCCTGGCCCAGCTCCAGGCAACGAGGTAGCTCATCGCTTCTTGCATCTGTGGAGGGCCATGCTGGGTTTCTTTTCTTTTCTCGTGGGTGTACGAGGATGCAAGAAATATGTTTTGTGTCCCCCCCTCCCCCAATGTACCCAATTTAGCCCACCACCCTGGGAAGTGCATGTCACAGACCAACTCCACCTTCACCTTCACCACCTGTCGCATCCTGCATCCTTCAGACGAGCTCACACGGGTCACGCCAAGGTAAGGGACCCCGGCCCTGGGGGTTGGGGACCCTCCCTGCGAGATGCGATGTTAAGGAGAGCCCAGGGAGAGAGGTGTGTTCGACGCCAGCTCTGGCCAGGGGAAACATCTCGTGAGCGCTTGAGGGCTCCTGTCTGGGGGCCCCTGTTTCCCTTGGAATCGAGGTCCCTATTCATTCAGATTGATGCAGGTGAAGGGACCTGGACCACCTTCAGTGGCCCTGTGCATCGGCCGTGGGAGAGTCTCAGGCCTCTCCTTCATTGGCAGAAGCTGGCCTTCCACAGGCCCTAAGGCCAAGTCCGTTGGCTCTGCACCCCAAAGTTTGCTAGCAGAGCATGGAGTTTCTTCCCAGGCAGGAGTTCCCGCCCCGTGGGGGCCCCTGTGCCCCTGGAATAGACCACAGGGACCACACCCCGCAGCCACACAGATCTGAAGACCAGGCCATGTGCCCCGTGCACCCCGTTTCCCTCTGGTGCCCCCCAGGAGCGGTAGCGGTTGGCACCATCGGGAAGAAGGACTTGCACGGCACAGGGTGGTCTGTGTGGCTGGATTCCTCAGCTCCTAGTGAAAGGAAGTGACCCCCCCCCTCGCCCCCAGTTGTTTCCTCTGTGCTGCAAGGTGCCCGGGAAGGAAGGTAAAGCCGAGAGGGCGGGAGGCAAGCAGGGCCCGCGTGGAGGGAGCAGCGCCCCCAGGAGCCCCTCACACTCTGAATGACTCTCCGCAGGTGCCGTGCGGAGGACGGCGAAGCAGCCCCAGGCCCCGTTGAGCTGAGAGGAGGTGTAGGGCAGACAGTGAGCCCACGGGCGAGGCAGGGGGTGAGCACACGCCGGCAGCGCCCGCCCCGGCAGGGCCGCGCGGAAGGGGCTGTGTGTGCACGCGTGGCCGCCACTAACCCAGGACGTAGGCGTGGGTGTGTCTCTGCGGTGGTGCCTGGCTAACTTGAACTTGGCCTTGACGGCGGACACCCCTAACCCATCTAAACGCCCCGGTCGAGCTGAGCCCCAGCACTAATACAGGCCTAACCAAAGTTCTCACCGGACGGACGGGGATCTCCGAGTTGTAGCTTGTCCTCTCCATGTCCCTCCCCGCCTCTGGAGGGCCCGGCTTTCCCCTCCCCGCAGGAAGAGCTGGTGTTTAAAACCCTGGGACAGGGCTTCCCGGGGAGAGGCAGGCGCCCGTCTGGCTGGAGCCTGAGGGCTCGTGCCTGCGGGGCTGCCCACTGTCTGCAGGGCCGGGCCAGGGCCAGACCAGGGCCGGGCCAGGGCCGGGAGAGCCTGGGCAGCCCGAGGCAAAGGGAGGCTTTTCCCCTGCGTTTCAAAGAAGGGCAGCTCGGAACACAGTGGAGACCCTCCCTGGGAGTGGCCTGGGGAGCAAGACTCAAACAGTCTTGGCCCGGAGCTCTGGAGACCCGCACTTTGTAGAATTCCAGCTGCACCATTCGGAGAGTCCGCCTTTCCACCTTAGGAATCTGCTGTGGTGTCCGGTCTCGGTGGGCGGGTGTTTCTCTGGGTGACCCCAACCCCGGCGCATGTGCGGGATGGGCCTGTTCATTCTCTGTGCCTCGCTGGCCCTGTGCTGACCACTCAGCAGCAAGGTCACCTGAGTGTGGGACCCAGTGATGCCTCAGCTGGGACTTGCCTGTGAGCTGTGCCTCCCGCAGGGGGCCCTGCTCCAGGGGGTCATTCTGGGAACCTGCTCCAGAGCGCGCCCCCTGCCCTCCCTTTCCCTACCTTGGTGCTTTGTCCAAGGGATCTGGTCCTTCCCCCGTCAGGCTGAGGGGAGAGGGCTCTGTCGCCCTGCTCCTGGGGACCACCCAGCTGGCTGCCACCAGGGGGCACCTGCAACCCCAGGCACCCCCTTGGGCGGCACTGGGGCCGGTCTCGAGAGTCTGTAGGGAGGACGTGCTGCCAGGTCCTCAGCCACCCGTGCGGCAGCAGCGTCGGGCAGCGCAGGGCTGCTGCCTGGTGGCCGCACCTCTCCGGTGGCCGCTGTCACAGGAGGTCCCCTCCCATCCTCTGAGCAGACAGCAAGGCAGGTCCCCTGCTGGTCCTCGCCCACTTTTCTGTCCTGATTCCCGACCCCAGCTTCTGGAACACAGTGGGTCCCCAGCAAGTAGGACACGAGTGGGTGCAGGAATCCGCTTCCCCGTAGTGACCGGTTTCAGGCACCTGCTGGGCCTTCGCCTGGGGCTCCGTAGACGCGGAGCTGGTGACACAGGGCAGCTGTCCCTGACCCCATCCCTGCACTCTCAAGTTCCGGGTTTGGGCAACCGCAGCAGGGACTGGGCGCCGCCCCGGGCAGGGGGGAAAGGGCGTCGTAGTGGGAGTCGGGGCTGGGTCTGCTGCTGGCCCCACGTGCACCTTCGGCCTCTGGCTCCCGCTGCCCCAGGGCCCCCAACCTGGAAGCCCCGCCTGCTTCAGCCATTCCTGGATAAATTCGTATCCTGTAGCACAGGCAGCAAACACAAGGCCCGCAGGCCGAATCCGGCCCTCCACCTTGTTTTATCCGGCCCGGCACCTTGTTTCTACCCGGCGGCAGCACCAAGCTCTCGCTTAACTGTTAGGGAGCAGTTACATTTATGCAGTCCTAAAATTACATTCGGCCCTTTGAAGGCAACTTCGAGGCTGATGTGGCCCCTGGTGAAAATGAGTTTGGCACCCCTGGCCTGTAATCTTGGGTCGTCTCAGGGAGGGAAGGAAGTCGTGGGAAGGAACTCTGGAGCTTGAGTAAACTCAGTAGGGGAAGAAAACCTCTCTGTCCAAGGGCTTCCTCCCTCATTTTTTGGGGGTCACTAGACTTGGGTTCGAATCCTGGGCCTTCCACTTAATAGCTAAGTGTGACACCGAGTCAGCCACCCAACTTCGGAGCCCGTTTGCTCGCCTGCAAAGGGGACAGTTAAATGCACCCTGTGGGGCTGAGAGACGGGAACCGTGAGCAGCTGCCTGTGAGCAGGAACCACGCCCCACTGAGGGGATCTGAGCCCCCGGGGTGAGAGGGAGGCAGAGACTGGGAAGAGGCGTGCGGGGGGCCTGGGCTGAGGGTGTCCTCTCCTTGCGTCCCAGGCCTGCCCGGCGCTGCGGCAGGACACTGGCCACGGACCCTCTTCCTGGTGCTCGTGGATGTTTGTTTGCTGATGCATGACCTCTCGTCTTCCCCCGCCAGCCTTAACTCGGCCCCGACTCCAGCTTGTGGCAGCGCCAGCCACGTAAAGTCCACGCCCGTGGCCACGCCGTGCACTCCCCGGAGGCTGAGCCTGGCCGAGTCCTTCACCAACGCCCGCGAGTCCACGACCACCATGAGCACGTCCCTGGGGCTGGTGTGGCTGCTGAAGGAGCGGGGCATCTCCGCGGCCGTGTACGACCCCCAGAGCTGGGACAGGGCCGGCCGGGGCGCCCTCCTGCACTCCTACGCCCCCAGGATGGCTGTGATCCCCTCCACCCCGCCCAACTCACCCACGCCCACGCCCACGTCTTCCCCGCCCTCCTTCGAGTTCAAGTGCACGAGCCCCCCCTACGACAACTTCCTGGCTTCCAAGCCGGCCAGCTCCATCCTGCGGGAGGTGCGGGAGAAGAAGAGCCTCCGCAGCAGCGAGAGCCAGACGGACGTGTCCGTCTCCAACCTCAACCTCGTGGACAAAGTCAGGAGGCTCGGCGTGGCCAAAGTGGTGCACTCAGGGCGAGCCCGCGTCCCCACCTTGACTGAGGACCAGGCACCTCTCCTCTGTGGGCCCCCCGGCCCGGCGCCGGCCCTCGTCCCCGGAGGCCTGGGACCCGAGGGCCTGCCTCTCGGGTGCCCCGCCGCCGCCGCCGCGGCCGTCACGAGTGCCATCGGCGGGCTGCAGCTCAACAGCGGCATCCGGCGGAATCGCAGCTTCCCCACCATGGTGGGCTCCAGCATGCAGATGAAGGCCCCCGTGACCCTCACCTCGGGCATCTTGATGGGTGCTAAGCTCCCCAAACAAACTAGCCTGCGGTGAGGGTGGGCAGGGGGGGCCCTTCCTCCGAGGAGACCAGTCTCGTCCTGCCTCCCTCGCTTCCCCCCTGCACTGCGCTCCCTCCCGCCTCCCTCCTCGCCTGCCCCCTCCCAGCTAGACAAATCAGCCTCGTGCCTCATGGCGGGAGAGTGGAGACTTTGTACAGTGTGTACCTAGGACTTGGAGACCCGTCTCCTACCCGCCCTTCCTTCAGATCCCGCGGGAAGTGCCCGGCACTGTCCGTGCTCTCCGGAGGGTTCACCTGTGCTCACCTGGGGGCGGGCCAGGCCGGTGTCCTTTCCCCCTCTGCCGTCCTTTGAGAAGCACTGAAACTCCCCAGGACATTCGTATCCCATGGATAGGAAGCCGGGGAATCGTGGCCGGCTGCCGGCGTGCGCACCGTGAGCCGGCACCCAGCACACGGCACCGTCCTCCCCTCCCAGCCCGTGTCACTGGGCACCTTGCCTCTCCCGCCCTCTGAGAGCGTGAGGGACCTCCGTCGGCGGCCACGCGCAGCTGCTGGCGCTTCCAGGACTGGAGAGCTGTTCTTTTACGGGGGTCCAGCTTCTCCAAGACCTGCACGCCCCTGCCTCAGCGTGCAGCCGCGTCGCTGCCGAGGTGTGACTCCTTCTTTCCATACCTTCCGCCCGAAGTCCCTGCCCCTGTTTTGCCATCAGCCATCAGGCCAGACTCCTGGCCCGGGAGAGAGCGTGTTGACACTCCGCTGCACCGTTCCGCAGCCCCCGTGGGCCGTGCACACGTCCTGTGGTGTATGTCTGTGTCTACAGGCAGGGCCGTTGTGGCGGTTGGGAAGGCCCCGCGGGTGTCCTCTCTGCGGTTCTGACGCCCAGAGACACGCGGCAGCCGCCACCAAGCCGCTAGCGAGAGGCCGGCTTATTTCTGGGATCCAGCGGCACAACCAGGAGGAGTGAGACCAGACCCGAGGCAACTCCCACAGCAGCGTTTAGAGCAAGGGGGGCAGGGGGAAAGGCGGCCAGTGAAACGCCTCGGTTGTCCAAGGAAAAAGAGCCACAGCCAAACATGGTGATCCGCAGCCGGCTCCCGGGAGAAAACGGGGTTGGGGCCCAGTCCCAGCTCCAGGCCCCGAGTCTGGCCCCCACGCTTTCCCCTCCGTGGTCTCGCGGGGCAGCCGTGCGAGGCCCACACACCTCGCCCTGCTGTTGTGCAGCAGAGCAGCCCACGACAAGCCGTTTCCTTCCCCCCAGACACCCCCCCCCCGCCCCCCGTCTCCGGTGCCGCCCTTTATCCCGAGGAAGAGATGCAGGTGCTCGAGAGACTCAGGTGGACGAGCAAGGGAGCCCGGCCCCGTCGCTGTCGCCGACATGGTTCTGAACTTTTATTTATTACGTATGAGTGCCGTGCCCTGAACACGCACCCTCTCTCCAGCTCCAGCCGCGGCGCGTCTGTGGCGTGCCGGTCTCGGCAGGTCGTTTATTTATTCCGTGGCCCCTCGTTGCCGGCATTCACGGGAGGAGAACATCACGTGCCCGAGAAACTGGCCGTCTGGCAGCCCCCCACTACCCACCCCGCCCCCCAATCCCGGACAAAGGATGTGTCCTTCATGGAAGGAGTGTAGCCTTATGTCTACCGAAGACACTTCAAGGAAGTCCCTGGGAAGGACCCTCCGTCCCACGGCTTCAGACTATTTATTCTGCGAACACGAGAGAGCTGGTCCGTTACATTTTCAACACTCCTTGTGGCTGTCAGTGTGCCCTTGCTGCAAGGAGCGGACACCTTTTTATCGGAATGTATTTTAAAGCCGTAGGTAGAATAACGAAGGAACATGGGAACCGTGGGCCTCATGGACCTCTCGGTGGATTCAGACAGAGAAGTCACCCGCATCCCAGAGGGTGGAAATCAGTTCAGAGATTGTGGTGTTTAGTACAGTAAATAAATGATCAACAGCGGGCAACCACTATCCAGAAGTGTGTTGTAATGCATCAAAAAATCAACAATAAAAACTTTATTTGCTAATGAATATCAATAAAATAAGTTCAAATGATGGAAACCATGTTGGTATTCTGGTTGCATTTTTTCAATCTTTTTCACTGATGGATGATGTCTTTATATAAGACTTAAAGATAGCAGGCTGCGAACCAAAGTGTCGCAGGTTCGATTCCCAGTCAGGGCACATGCCTGGGTTGCAGCCCTCAGCAACTGCACATTGATGTTTCTCTCTCTCTTTCTCCCTCCCTTCCCTCTCTAAAAATAAATAAATAAAATCTTAAAAAAAAGACTTAAAGATATTCAGCTCTTTGGGGAAATTCAATAAAAGCCATGTCGTGTTTTTTTACGTACTGTTACATCCACCCTTTTAACACAATACTATATTATAGCTAACTTTCCAATCAGAACCGGAAGCTCTTCCCTGCTTTTCAGGGCTGCATACTATTCCACCGCATGCTTTTCAGGGCTGCATACTATTCCACCGAGTGCACAGACCCACCGCGACCAGTGCAGACCAGCATCCTGTAGCCGCGCATTGAGTTCTGATCTGCTGCTATCGCAGCACTATCATGAAAAAACCTCGCGTGTGTGTGACTTTCCACGTATGAGAGCACATCTGTGTGATAAATTCCATGACAGATGTTACCAAATCGCCCCTGTCGAGTTGTGACAAGAGCCTTTTAAAACCCAGACACAGGGGAGGGTCACCGCGTAGGGAACCGTGAGGAAAGGGTACAGTACAGCTGGTCCTGCCCCCGCAATTTCCGGAGCAGTGAGATTCTGCAAGCAAGCCATGGGTGGTCGCGGCGTGGGTTCTGTATCGGGTGCTACCATGTAATGGTGGTGTGACCTTCGGCCAGCCACTCCTGCAAGTCCTCTACTTTTTAACCTGTCCAACGGGCACCGTCACACCGAGGGTTAATTAGTTGGGTAAATGTATTTCCAACAACTACCGTGCGCCAGAGACCGGCGTGTTCTGTGCAGTGGGCATCTGGGGATAAAGGCGTGAGCGACATCACTCCTGGAGCGCCCACACGATCAGTCTGTAGCCGAAGCGACACTAGATGTGGACACGCGGCGTAATGAGCCAGGCGGAGGATTCAAACAGGGCAGTGTGAGGGACTGGGTGGCCACTTCCGGCAGTCAGGGAAGGCCTCTCCGAGGAGGTGGCATTTGGCTCAGCCACCTGAGATGGGGCACGAGAGCCCTGGGCCGGGAGCAGCTGGTGCCAGCGCACAGAGGCAGGAAAGCACTCGGGGCATCTGAGGAGCAGAGGAGGCCTTTGTTGGGAGTCGGGAAAGATTCAGTAAAGATTCGTTCTGGCCAGGGGGCCGTGAGCAGAGAAGAATCCATGCTCCTCTCTTCCCCTGGAGCCGTGTGTGGAAATGGCGGGGTCACAAGCTGGCCAAGCCTCCATCATCCTGGGTTTCTGAAGAGCCGTGTGGACCAGACTCCCTGCCAACCTGCACGTGATAGGCGGCGTGAAGGAGGAACGATCGGTTGCTGCGAAGGTGGGTCCTGGGTGCTGGAGCCCCAGGGCAGCCCAGGTGTGTGTGCTTGAGCACGCCCTTCCGGTGGTTCTGGGGCTCACCCAGGTGGGAACCACTGTGCCGGGCCAGGCGGAGCTGAGCTGGGAGCCCCACCCTGGAGGGTGGGCTCTCTTCCCCGTCTCAGGGCCTCAGAAGGCCCGACAGCTGCAGCCCACCTGGCTTGAGGGGAGGAGGCACCTGGTGCACCTGCCCAGCTGGGCAGGGGGGAGGGTTGAAGACCAGGTGCCCCTGGGTCTGGACTTCAAGGACGGGCAGAATTTGCCTCGCGGGACCAAGCACAGGGGAAAAGTATGCAGGCGGAAAGGGAAAGCGGTCCTAGAATGCATCCCCCTGAGCTCATGCTTGGGGTAGAATGGTGACTGGCAGATGCAGAAGGGGCAATGGCGTTAGGAAACTCGCCATTGTGCAGTCCTACAACTAACTTACTTTGACAGCAGTGGATAAGAAACCCGTTGGGAATCTGTCGGGTAGCAGGGCGTTTGCACACACACATTGTATCTTCTCGTGGGATGTGTACCCAGAGGTGGGGGAGGCGCCTTTGCAGTGGAGGAACCTGTCATGCACCCCGTGTGACGTGACCCAGGTGGGACAAGCTGACGCCAGCTGCTTCCTCCGGTGTGATGGGCTGATCAGGACCTCACCTCTGTGCTGTTCGGCCACAAATGCAAAACCTGAATCGTGTGGCTGACAAAGGGACAGACCCCAGTCGAGGGGACATTTTATAAAACCAGGTACCTATTCCCTTCACCAATGCCAATATCATAAAAGACCAAGGGACAGTCCTGGAATACAGGGGGACAGAGAAGCAACACAGATAATGCAATGCGTGATCCTTAATTTGGCGACAATGCTATTAAAGACCATTTGGTGGCGATCACAGAAATGTGGATATTGAGGATATACTTCGAAACATTGTATTAATATGAAGTTTCCTGAATGTGAGTATGCAAAAGCCATTTCCTAGGAGACACTAGCTAAAGGATTAAGATAAAGGCATGTGACATCGGGCTCTAAGTCACTTTCAGATGTTGCTGGAGAAAAGCAAGTAGGAATTTTTTTTTCAAAGGAAGATGTGTGGAAAGAAACCCTCAGCTGTGGGAAGCACCCTAATACCGTATGTTTGGTAAACTATAAAAAGCAATGCATCCGTTTGCCCTGTGGCCATGGCAGGAGGGTGCTTGAGGTGATTTGGTTTCTCTTCCCTGTTCTTGACCAAATTGCTTCATTTATATCCAAGCTTGCACCTCCTGCCCCCACCGCCCTGGGTGCTCCACCAGAGGGCGCCATGGCCTCAGGAAAAGTCGTCGAAGAGGCTCTTGGGACCAGGAAGCAAGGATGTCAAATTCTTGGCTTTTCATTATGAGGAAAGAAAAAGCTGAGTATATGTTTCTATATATAAGACCAAAAACTAGACTTGGTGTGGTGAGCATGTAATAAGGAAGCATACATATATCAAATTATAATGTGTACCTGCAATGTATATAAGATTATTATTAACCAGTGTTAGCTCAATAAAGTTAATTATTAAAATTAAATTTACCCTAAAAAAAAAGACTGGGAATGAAACCTACCAAACCAGTTTGTCTGTATATCGATTGCTCCCCTCTGCCCCCCACCCCCACCCCGGCACCCACAGCTTCTCCAGGCTGAAGGAGGGGTCGGAGAGGGTTCAGACCCACCGCTGGTGTAGGAACCTTCACCTTCCCCGGCCCCCGGTCGAGTGCAGGGTCTTGGGAGAAGCCACAGGTGGGTCTGGGGATCCAAAGACAAATGAGCTAGTTTCACGTGGTGGTGGGGGGCGGGTAGAAAGCGGAGATGTTCCAGGACCCCATGCTAGCTTCCCCACCCCAGCACAGGGCAGTGACCCCCCCACAGGGCAGGGAGAGTAGAAATGGCAGCAAGCGCCTGGCCCCAGACGGATGTGGGACTCACTTCCGAACGTTGCTTAGGAGCAGAGACACCCGTGTGCCCTGGGACCCTTCCAGTGGGACACAGAAAGTGGGCACAGGCCTCCCGCACCACGCACACGGGTGGGACACAGTGCCAGCTGGGGAGAATTTGGTGGGGCTGGGAAGTTATTCTGAATGATCTGAATTGACTGGGAGCTCACAGTAAAGATTAAATTGAGATTTAGAAAAATAGAAAAGTGTGTGTGTGTGTGTGTGTGTGTGTGTGTGTATCTGGGCTCATGGCTGGGAAACACCAAGTCCTGGGAGAATTTATTTTCTGTGGCCAGTAGAGGGCACTGGAGACAGCAGAAAACCCAAGGGAACCCGCCCTGAGGCTCCCAGCCCCAATCACCGGGAATGGCTTTTCCCTGGAAAGCAACTCAGGCAGGTGGCTGTGCCTAACACAGACATTGAGGGAAGTCATTAGCTGGTCCAAGGCCACCAGGTGAACTTGATGGAGGCATTCCAGGCCAGGCGGCAGCTCACGCGCAGGCTCGGGGTGTAACGGGAGAAATTGCGCACAGCCTGAGGAGGAGACGAGGGAAAGCAAAACGTAGTTTGCAAAACAGCTCCCTACTAGGGTGTTCCCGTCTTTGCAAATCAATCCACAACCCTTTTAATGCTTCTCCCTTGCAGAAATAACGTTTGCTCTTTGCCTTTTCCAGAGACATTTGAAAGTGAGTTGTAGACATCACGCCACCGCAGCTCCACACGGCCACAGCTCGCTGACGGCGTCCAGGGTGGGAGGAGGTGTCCGTTCAGTGGCACTCAGTCACTCACCCTGTCGAATGCCCGAGGCGTAGGCTAACCCCGCCCTGAAGTCCCACAGAACTTGAGGCCAGCGAGGGAAAGTGGGGCCTTTAGCTTAGACCAGCGGCCCAGAGGCTCAGCAGCGCCTGGGACCAGACCTGAGAGACCCGGGGAGAGGAAGCTAGACAGGAATCTGGGGCACACCGCGAACAGGTTGGGGCAGAATTGGGCAGGGTCTGCGAGGGCCGGGCAGCCGCAGCGCTGGGGGGTCATCAGCACAGGTGATTCACAAGTGCCAGGCCAGAGTTTAGGGACTCTTTTCAGGAGGGAAAACATAGAGATGTGTGTCCTCCTAAGCCCCCCCACCCCATAGATAAGCCCTTAGTCCCGCCCTCGCCCCCTGTTGGTCAGCTGTGGCACTGAGGCCCAATAGAGGTGGCAGCGGCAACACGAGGCCCTTAACGCTCCTGGCTGCCTGACTTCCAGCCAGCCCGGCCTCCTTCAGCCTGGGGCCACTCTCCTGCACCTGGAAAAGCAACTGTGTGCCCAGCTGTTCCGAGCAGCTGGCTCGGGTTCTGCGGAGGCTGTGGGAGTGACTCGGCAAAGAAATGGTACCTTTCCATAGGTACCAGGTTGTCTTCAAGCACACCTAAGCACTTTTGCCCTCGGTTTTAATTCTACAGGAAACACTTCACTTGTCTGCCATCTTGTTCTCTCTTCCGTTTTATTGCCGATTTTCAAACCCTGGGGCCTTTGGGCAGCTGTATGAAAGTTTCAAAATTAAGATAATAACAGCAAACACCCATTCTTGG